GACTTTTCGGGGAAGTAGATTTTCGAATTTTGGGGAAATATTACCTAATTTTGCGAAGTAGATTATCATAGAAAACGGGAAATTTGTATCATAAAAATGGGAAATATCTACTTTCCGGGAAAGTTGGTTATCTACTTTCCCGAAAAGTAGATAGATTTTCTACTTTTCGGGAAAGTAGATTATCGACTTCGGGGAAGTAGATTTTCGATTTTGGGGAAATATTACCTAATTTTGCGAAGTAGATTATCATAGAAACGGGAAATTTGTATCATAAAAAACGGAAAATATCTGTTTCGAAAGTTGGATATTCACTTTCCCGAAAAGTAGATAGATTTTTCTACTTTTCGGGAAAGCAGATTATCGACTTTTCAGGGAAGTAGATTTTCGAATTTTGGGGGAAATATTACCTAATTTTGCGAAGTAGATTATCATAGAAAACGTGAAACTTGTATCATAAAAAATGGGAAATATCTACTTTCCGGGAAAGTTGGTTATATACTTTCCCGAAAAGTAGATAGATTTTCTACTTCTCGGGAAAGTAGATTATCGACTTTTCGGGGAAGTAGATTTTCAACTTTTGGGGGAAATATTACCTAATTTTGAGAAGTAGATTATCATAGAAAACGTGAAATTTGTATCATAAAAAATGAGAAATATCTACTTTCCGGGAAAGGAGTTAGTTTGATTTTCCTGAAAAGTAGATATGATTTTCACTTTTCGTGAAAGTAGAGATTATCGACTTTCGGGGAAGTAGATTTTCGAATTTTGGGGAAATACCCACTTTATGAAGCAGATTTATCATAGAAAAACGGGAAATTTGTATCATTAAAAATGGGGAAATATCTACTTTCCGGGAAAGTTGGTTATCTACTTTCCCTAAAAGTAGATAGATTTTCTACTTTTCGGGAAAGTAGATTATCGACTTTTCGGGGAAGCAGATTTTCGAATTTGGGGGGAAATGTTACCTAATTTTGCGAAGTAGATTATCATAGAAAACGGGAAATTTGTATCATAAAAAATGGGAAATATCTACTTTCCGGGAAAGTTGGTTATCTATTTTCCCAAAAAGTAGATAGATTTTCTACTTTTCGGGAAAGTAGATTATCGACTTTTCGGGAAGTAGATTTTCGAATTTTGGGGGAAATATTACCTAATTTTGCGAAGTAGATTATCATAGAAAACGGGAAATTTGTATCATAAAAAACGGGAAATATCTACTTTCCGGGAAAGTTGGTTATCTACTTTCCCGAAAAGTAGATAGATTTTCTACTTTTCGGGAAAGTAGATTATCGACTTTTCGGGGAAGTAGATTTTCGAATTTTGGGGGAAATATTACCTAATTTTGCGAAGTAGATTATCATAGAAAACGGGAAATTTGTATCATAAAAAATGGGAAATATCTACTTTCCGGGAAAGTTGGTTATCTACTTTCTCGAAAAGTAGATAGATTTTCTACTTTTCGGGAAAGTAGATTATCGACTTTTCGGGGAAGTAGATTTTCGAATTTTGGGGGAAATATTACCTAATTTTGCGAAGTAGATTATCATAGAAAACGGGAAATTTGTATCATAAAAAATGGGAAATATCTACTTTCCGGGAAAGTTGGTTATCTACTTTCCCAAAAAGTAGATAGATTTTCTACTTTTCGGGAAAGTAGGCTTATCGACTTTTTGGGAAAGTAGATTTTCGAATTTTCGGGGAAATATTATGGAATTGTAGGGTTGGTTGTTTTCCGAAAGGTAGATTTATTTGGTAGATCGACTTTCGGAAGTATCATAGAAAAACGGAATTAGCACAAAAAGTAAGCATCTACTTTCCTGAAAGTATTCATTTCCTGAGTTTTCAATTCCAGATAAAGTGTCTATTTCGAAAGTTGATTATCTACTTCCGAAATTTTTGGAAATATTTAATTTTGCAGATTATCACAGAAATCGAAATTTGTATCATAAAAATGGGAAATATCTACTTTCCGGGAGTTGGTTATCTACTTTCCCGAAAAGAAAATCTTATCTACTTTCGGGAAAGTAGATTATCGACTTTTCGGGAAGTAGATTTTCGTTTTTGGGAAATATTACCAACTTTCCCGGAAAGTAGATATTTCCTTTTTTTGTGATACAAATTTCCCGTTTTCTATGATAATATACTTCGCAAAATTAGGTAATATTTCCCCCAAAATTCGAAAATCTATTCCCCCGAAAAATCGATAATCTACTTTCCTGAAAAGTAGAAAATCTATCTACTTTTCGGGAAAGTAGATAACCAACTTTCCCGGAAAGTAGATATTTCCCATTTTTTATGATACAAATTTCCCGTTTTCTATGATAATCTACTTCGCAAAATTAGGTAATATTTCCCCCAAAATTCGAAAATCTACTTCCCCGAAAAGTCGATAATCTACTTTCCCGAAAAGTAGAAAATCTATCTACTTTTCGGGAAAGTAGATAACCAACTTTCCAGGAAAGTAGATATTTCCCATTTTTTATGATACAAATTTCCCGTTTTCTATGATTATCTCCTTCGCAAAATTACGTAATATTTCCCCAAAAATTCGAACATCTACTTCCCCGAAAAGTCGATGATCTACTTTCCCGAAAAGTAGACAGATTTTCTACTTTTCGGGAAAGTAGATAACCAACTTTCCCGGAAAGTAGATATTTCCCATTTTTTATGATACAAGTTTCCCGTTTTCTATGATAATCTACTTCGCTAAATTAGGTAATATTTCCCCCAAAATTCGAAAATCTACTTCCCCGAAAAATCGATAATCTACTTTCCCGAAAAGTAGAAAATCTATCTACTTTTCGGGAAAGTAGATAACCAACTTTCCCGGAAAGTAGATATTTCCCATTTTTTATGATACAAATTTCCCGTTTTCTATGATAATCTACTTCGCAAAATTAGGTAATATTTCCCCAAAATTCGAAAATCTACTTCCCCGAAAAGTCGATAATCTACTTTCCCGAAAAGTAGAAAATCTATCTACTTTTCGGGAAAGTAGATAACCAACTTTCCCGGAAAGTAGATATTTCCCATTTTTTATGATACAAATTTCCCGTTTTCTATGATAATCTACTTCGCAAAATTAGGTAATATTTCCCCCAAAATTCGAAAATCTACTTCCCCCGAAAAGTCGATAATCTACTTTCCCGAAAAGTAGAAAATCTATCTACTTTTCGGAAAGTAGATAACCAACTTTCCCGGAAAGTAGATATTTCCCATTTTTTATGATACAAATTTCCCGTTTTCTATGATAATCTACTTCGCAAAATTAGGTAATATTTCCAAAATTCGAAAATTCATTTCCCGAAAAGTCGATAATCTACTTTCCCGAAAAGTAGAAAATCTATCTACTTTTCGGGAAAGTAGATAACCAACTTTCCCGGAAAGTAGATATTTCCCATTTTTTATGATACAAATTTCCCGTTTTCTATGATAATCTACTTCGCAAAATTAGGTAATATTTCCCCCAAAATTCGAAAATCTACTTCCGAGAAAAGTCGATAATCTACTTTCCCGAAAAGTAGAAAAATCTATCTACTTTTCGGGAAAGTAGATAACCAACTTTCCCGGAAAGTAGATATTTCCCATTTTTTATGAATCAAATTTCCCGTTTTCTATGATAATCTACTTCGCAAAATTAGGTAATATTTCCCCCAAAATTCAAATATCTACTTCCCCGAAAAGTCGATAATCTACTTTCCCGAAAAGTAGAAAATCTATCTACTTTCCGGGAAAGTAGATAACCAACTTTCCCGGAAAGTAGATATTTCCCATTTTTTATGTTACAAATTTCCCGTTTTCTATGATAATCTACTTCGCAAAATTAGGTAATATTTCCCCCAAAATTCGAAAATCTACTTCCCCGAAAAGTCGATAATCTACTTTCCCGAAAAGTAGAAAATCTATCTACTATTCGGGAAAGTAGATAACCAACTTTCCCGGAAAGTAGATATTTCCCATTTTTTATGATACAAATTTCCCGTTTTCTATGATTATCTACTTCGCAAAATTACGTAATATTTCCCCCAAAATTCGAAAATCTACTTCCCCGAAAAGTCGATAATCTACTTTCCCGAAAAGTAGAAAATCTATCTACTTTTCGGGAAAGTAGATAACCAACTTTCCCGGAAATTAGATATTTCCCATTTTTTATGATACAAATTTCCCGTTTTCTAAGATAATCTACTTCGCAAAATTAGGTAATATTTCCCCCAAAATTCGAAAATCTACTTCCCCGAAAAGTCGATAATCTACTTTCCCGGATAGTAGATATTTCCCATTTAATATGATACAAATTTCCCGTTTTCTATGATAATCTACTTCGCAAAATTAGGTAATATTTCCCCCCAAATTCGAAAATCTGCTTCCCCGAAAAGTCGATAATCTACTTTCCCGAAAAGTAGAAAAGCTATCTACTTTTCGGGAAAGTAGATAACCAACTTTCCCGGAAAGTAGATATTTCCCATTTTTTATGATACAAATTTCCCGTTTTCTATGATAATCTACTTCGCTAAATTAGGGTTCTTTCCATAGGCGGTGGTGCCCCCAGGGACACCTTCAAGGAAAGTGGTGCTCCCAAGGACCTTCCCAGGGACCCTCTCAAGGGCGACAGCTCCCCTGAGGACCGTCCCAAATGGCGACTTTAGGGACGGTAGGGCCTCTGGGGGCTCTGACACCCCTGAGTGGGACTGTGGGAATCCCACCACCCCTGGGAGAGCCCTTATGGGGCCACCATCCCTTGGAGGGCCCCTTGGGGTGCTCCCGCTCTTGAGAGGACCCCCACGGGCTCCGCCGTCCCTAAGAGGGTCCCTTGAGGCGCCGACGTTCTTGGGATGATGCAAGGGACGCCGTAGCCCCTAAAAGTGTCCTAGAAGGTGTCGGCATCCGTGGAAGAGTCCCTGGGGGCTCCGCCAACCTTGGGAGGGTCTCTGGAAAGGTCCCGGGGAGCGCCACTGTCCCTGGAAGTGTACCTGGGGGCGTTGCCGTCCCGGAAAGGGTCCCTAGGGATACTGCCTTCCCTGGGAGGGTCCTTGGGGGTGCTGCCGCCCCTGTGAGGGTCCCTGGGCGCGCCGGTGCCCCTGAAAGGATCCCTGGGTGCGCCACCACGACTGGAAGGACCCTGGGGCCGCCACCACACCTGAGAGAGCCTCTGGGGGCACTGCCGCCCCTGGGAGGGTCCCTGGGAATGTCCGTGGGGGTCCTGCTGTCCCTTGAAGTGTCCCTGGGGGCGCCACCGCATCTGAGAGGGTGCGTTGGGGCACCACCGCCTCTGAGTGGGCCCATGTTGGCGCCACCACCCCCGAGAGGGCCCCTGGGGGTGCTACTCCCCTGAAAGGGCCCTTGAAGGCGCTGCCACCCCTAAGTGGAAACCTAGGAGCATCACCTGCCCTGGGAGGGCCCCTGGCGGCGCCACCGAACACTGGGAATGCCCCTGGGGACGTCGCCACCCTTGATAGGGCCCCTGGGAGTGTGGGCTGAGGATCCCTGAAGGTGACGTCATCCTTGGGAAGGTATTTGGGGGCGCCGCCGCCCTTCAGAGGGTCCCTGAAAAGGTCCTTGGGAGCGCCACTTTGCTTGAAGGTGTCCCGGAGGGCACCACCGCTTCTGGTAGGCTCCCTGGGGGTACCGCCGCCATTGAGTTGGCCTATGGTGGCGCCACCATCCCTAGTAGGGCCTCTGGGTGCGCTGCCACCCCTGAGTATTGCTCTGGGAATGCCAACAGCCCTGGGAGAGCCGTAGGAGGGGCACCAACCCTGGGAGCGCCCATGAGGGTGTACCCGTCCCTAAGAGGGCCGCTGGGGGCTCTGCCGCTCCTGGGAGGGTCCCTTGGGGAGTCACCGTCCCTTGGAGAGTTCCTGGGGGCGCCGTCGCCTCTCGGAGGATGCTAGGGACTCTATACCCCATGGAAGGGTCCCGGGAGGCGTCGGTGCCCCTGGAAAGGTAATTGTGGGTCCTGCCGTCCCTGGGAGAGTCCCTTGGGGCTCCGCCACCCCTGTGAGGGTCCCTGGGTAGTGGGGATGCCGCTGTCCCTGGGATGGCGACTGGGGGCGCCACCACCACTGGGAGGACCTATGGGGGCGCCGCCATATTGAAAGAGCCCCTGGGGTCGCTGCCACCCCTGGAAGAGCCCATGGGAGCTCCGTTGTCCCTGGGCGTATCCCTGAGGGCGTCGTCGCCCCGGAGAGGGGCACCTGGGGACGCTGCCATCCCTGTGAGGGTTTTTGGGGGCGCCGCCCCCCCCTGGGATAGTCCCTGGACACATCCTTACCGCTGTAAGGGTCCCAGGGGGCTCTGCCGCCCCTGAAATGGTCCCTGGGTTGTGCCACGAGGGTCCGTGGGGGCGCCATTTGGGAGGGCCCTTGGAGGCGCTGTTTCACATGGGAGGGCCCGTGGGGACATCGCTGCCCATGGGGTCGCCGCCGCCAGTGAAAGCACCCCTGGAGTCACTGCCACCCCTAGGAAGGCCCCTGGGGGCACCAAACATGGGTGCAGTAGTTTTTGCGCTATTAAGAACCCTAGTGGCAACGTATCATCGCATTCCGAAGAAGGTAGCGCTTTTAGGGAACCTCTCAGGGGTGGCGGCTTCTCCCAGGAGCTCTCCCAGGGACGGCTGCGCCTCCAGGGACCCTCTCAAGGGTGAAGCTGCCCCAAAGGTCCCTCCCAAGGTCGGCAGCATCCCCAGAGACCCTCCCAGGAGTGGCGGCGCCCCCAGGAATGGCTGTACTCCCAGGGACTCTTCCGGGGGCGGCGGAGCCACCAGGAACCCACCCAGGGGCGGCAGTGTCCCCAGGGGCTTTCTCACTGGCGGCGGCGCCTCTTAATGACCTTCCCGGGGATGGCACCGCCGTCAGGGACCCTCCCTGGGGTGATGCCCCAGGAACCCTCCCAAGTGCAGCGCCGCCCCCAAGGTCCTTCCCAGGCACTTCGGGGCCCTCAGGAACCCTACCAAGGGTCTCCATGGGCCCTATGGCATGCTTGTTCGTTGTTTCGTTATTACATAGTTCTAGGAGTTCCTTATTGAACTATGATTGGTGGTCTATTCTTTTAACCAACCAAATTACAGCCAATAGGAGAGGAGAGCAGTTAGTCAACACAACACCACAACTTATGTTTTCCTGCTGGATATAATTATCTGTTACCTTCTTCAGAATGCAATGATACTGGAATTGTGATGGGCGGTGTATATATTAAACGATACGTCTCCCAGAGTTCTAAATATCTCAAAAACTACTGCATCTAGGATCCCTAAGGGCTTGGCGCTACCAGGATAGGCGAGGATTAGGTGAGGGATGGGAGGGGAGTGGGGCAATTCCACGCCCTTCCCAGTCGGTGAGTCCTGATACCTTCCGTCGGCGCCTAACGGATGGTACAATTCTCCACCTCCCAGGATGGGCGAGAGTAGGGTGGGGGTTAGGGGGGGGGGATTCCACGCCCTTCCCAGTCGGTGGGTCCTGATACCTTCCGTCTGCGCCTAACGGATGGTACAGTGTTTTTAACTGAAAACCATTCGAAAAGCGATTACAGTAACATCTTTTGAACGAAAGAAAGCGAGTCATTGCTTTCGTCACTTTCCTCTGTAATACGTACGTCATTTCAGCAAAAATATTACATTTCCGTGAATGTAGTATATCAAGCACAGTATGAATATAATATCATTGTAATATAACAGTATTTTAACCGAAAACTATTAAAAAAACGAGTAACATCAATTGAACATTGGAAGGTTAGGTAAAGTCTTTTGTTTTCGTCATGTATTTTATCCTATTTTACATTGAAATACATCACGTTTCAGCAAAACTACTATTTATTTCTGAGAATATATTCATTCAGGCACAGTTTAGGTAAAATATACATTTGATGTAACATTTTTTTAATTGAAAACGATTCGAAAAACACATACCCTCTAGCCCTGTTCAAGGAGAAGACTGGGAGGAGCTGTTTGGTTCTTAAGACGATGACAAGGAAAATGATTTTGATGGATTTTAATGAAAATATTCAGAAAGACCCTGGCACTGTCAAGGAAAGTGGCTGCTGAAGGCTTCCAGGACATGGCAGAAGACGAGATTAGGGAGCTTATTGAAGAGCACGACACTGAGCTGACCGAGGAGGATCTACAGGAGTTAGTAGACTCAGGCAAGGAAGAGGAGGCAAAAGGGAAAGAGGATGAGGAAGAGGAAAGAGCACCAAGAAATAACGTTGGAGAAGTTGGGGGAGATGACCAGGAATATTGAGGCACTGAAAAACGTGGCCTATAGTATGGACCCCTCCATGGTGCGTGCCCTGAAATTCATGCAAGGGATGGATGAAGTTTTCGCTCCATACAAAAACATCATGGAAGAAATGAATGAAAGAGACGACAACTCCCCATCACCATGTTCTTTGATCATCGAAGGAGAGATTTAACACCATCAATCACTGGCGGCAGTGAGGAAGCAGCTGAATCCACCGTCGCCCCCACTTCACCACCCGTTATGGAATTGAGTGACGATGAGCCCGATGACACTCGTCCTGTCGCCGAGGATAGGTACTGTACAGTAAAGTGAAATTTTTATCTCTTTTTTGTAATAGCTTTTCTTGCACAGTACAGTTCAGTACTGTACATAGGAAGTGGAGGTGCAGTTATTCACAAAACATTTGTGTTCGTTGTCGGCAGTAGTGACGGTGAGGAAGGAGCGGAGGGAGCGAGTTGGGAGGAGTGGTGACCTTGGACGATGGAGCAGGGACGAGTGGAGATGCCAGCCAGTACATTACGGGTGTATTAATTGTTTTTATAGCTATTTTTGCATTTTAATATTAAATATTGTACATTACGTTTCAACAAAACTACCATTTATTTCTGATAACATGGAAATGTAATATTTTTGCTGAAATGATGTACAGTACGTATTACAGTGGAAAGTGGGATAAAATTGTGACGAAAGCAATGACTTTCTCTTTCTTTCGTTCAAAAGATGTTAACGTAATCGCTTTTCAAATGGTTTTCAGTTGTGGGATTATAAGGCTAATGATAGGATAGAATATTATTGTAATACAGTACGAGTACAACAGTTTTTTAACTGAAAACCATTCGAAAAGCAATTACGGTAAAATCTTTTGAATAACGAAAGAAAGCGAAAGTCATTGTTTTCGTCTTTCCAATGTAATATGTACGTCATTCCAGCAAAAATATTATATTTCCATATTTATTTCTGAGAATACCTATATTCATTCAGTCACAGTTAAGGTAAAATATACTTGTGATGTAATATTTTAATGAAAATAAGGTATCGTAGTTTTCTTTTGTTTCAAATTTAATTAACAAAGATTGATGTTTCAAATGTAATGAACAAAAATTTATGTACAGTATCTATAAAAAACTTTAATAAATGAATACTTTGTTTTACATCGTCCTGTGCTACCATACCATGCATTTGGTTACTTTGGGCTTACTATGATGACGCAAGAGATCTGCCCTGGCAACTGTACCGACACTCACAGCTGGTGGTGCGTTGGAGCATCGTTTCCATTGTTTACTGGTAGTTACTGGTAAATAATTTTTCAACCTAACGAAACTATTACCCGTTTAGAGGTCGACCCCCAATTTTTTGCCAAATAATTTGGTCTTACAAACTTGAACTACACACAGGTATATACGGTAAATAAAGACATGGGGGGAACCATGGTTTTGGGGGGGCAGGACATATACGCAGATTTTTAACATCCATGGGTATCTCTGTTACGTAACCCCCGCGTATGTTAAGGGCTGACTGTATATGGGTAGATGCACTGCGGAAAGTGAAAGTCCGGTTCTGGCGAGGCACCGCGTAAATGATAAATCGCGGAAAGTGAAACTGCGTAAAGCGGGCTAATACTGTAATGATAAATAAACACGCAGGCAGGCTTTCAGCGCCAATTGTCAAATCTTATCTCAAATAAATAAACAAACAAACGCCAGACATTCTGTCACCTCACCTCCCGCTCCCTCCCCCCGTCTTCCCACCACCCTGTGTTCCAAAATAAAAGATTGGTGATTTCTTTATGTTTATATTATATAATATCTCAGACTAAAGTTAGGATAATATAATTTGCATTGCTGAAATCCTTGCAAGACAGAGATTAATTTGAATATAAGCATCATATATTTTGCTCAAGATATAAAAAATGTAGTACATTAATGTACAATACTGTAGTACATTTTATAAAAAAAATTTCAACTGTATTTTAGGGTAGATTTACATAGATTTCTTCATTTACTTTCATCCATTTACATGCACACACCATACTAAAAGAAACGTAATAGAAATAAATGACCTTTGCGCAAAGCTGGAGTGCACATGTACTAATTTGATTACACCACTAAAATTGTTTTGTCTTGTGCAAATTATAGCATGTTTATATTCAAATTTATCAGTATGTTACAAGAATCCCAGCTATGTTAATTATATTCACCCAGGTCATTTCACTACCAACTGTCAAACGTACTACCTCCCTTCCCCCCACGCCCCCTAGCTCGCTCCCACCCACTCTCTCCCCCATCTGCTGGCGTTGCTGGAATCCTTGTAAAACAGCGAATAATTTTAATATAAACTCATGTATTTTGCACTAGAGATAAAAATGAATCACCTGTATCACATTACAGTAGTGATTTAAGAGTAAAAGTGTATATGTACGTATATAGTATTCCACATACACGTAAGTATAAATAAAAAGTTTATGTGATGATCGGACAACGTCCATTTCGGTTAACGTCACGTTTCCAAGAATGTATCTAGGACGTTAACCGGCGCATGACTGTATTTACACTACACAAAAATAATATATTTACACTACACAATGTTTGTTGTATAATGGTTATGCAAAACTAAATCAGTAACCGAGTGCTTGAAAAAAATTATTTGACGGCATTACAAATATACTTACTAGGAGTATGGCGGAAAATGTCGCTACAAATCAATATACGGTACCCATGTGAATACAGGGCTACCAACGTGTGGGCAGAACAATCTATCATCCTTGGTCTCATATTGTTTCACACAGAGTATTCACAGATACTGTTTTAGCTACTGTACATGCTGTTTGTGTTTTGAAGCAAAATTGTAGGGCAGACTTACTTTTGCATGGTAGGTATTCTGATGCCAGGTATGAATTATCTAATGGAGACATCACCCTTCAATGGAATAACTATTAAAACAAGCTAAAAAATGTGTTTATATTATAATTTTCTTGAATGTGTTGAAAAGAACCTAATATATACTACATTACCATAAATTTCATTCACCAATATGTAACTAATTCAATCACAATTTGCCTTTCTAATTCATTACCATATATAGTCACAGCCATCAAGAAAAAATATTTACTGTATACTGTATGTTAATCACACACATTGAAGCAATATTGAAATACAAATCAAATACAACCAACAATGCAAAAAAATAAACATTTTGTAAATACTTGATCAAAATATACAAGCATTTAGTCTATATCCTCCTTTCAGTTACATTTCAAATCATTGGAATGAAACAAATAATTCTTTAAAAACAATATACAGGATACAGAACATCTCCAGACTAAACACTGGCAGATGAGTAGCAATGTCTGACACTAAGGAATTAATTTACAATATGTTTCAATACTTCATTACCTTTCTTTGAAAATAAAATGGCATACATGGGAGTTTCCTTCTCTGCCAAGTACGATCCTGTATAATCATTCAATTAAACTGATCGGGAAGAATTTTCCTGTTTCTGCAAATGTTCTGGAGACAGAATACCTTAGTTCCTAATCCTAAGTAAAAATCATCTCACTTCACCCCAGAAACCCCCATTAATTATTTATTTATTATTCATCATGTGGGGAAGGACACAGCCAAGCAGAATGGAGTGAAGGGCTTTGGTGAGCTAAGACAACATGTAAAACCAATACAATAAACAAAGCAGTAGACCCTTGCTATTTGCGGGTTTCGATTCGTTTCAACGATTCGCAGTAAGCAGATGGTGGCTATGGCGGCTAGCCTGCGAGCCTTTTTCCACAATACAACAAGTCACCCCATGCAGCATTTTGTGTTGTACTCTCAAAACTTTAGGGTTTCTGTGTGAAATGGCCCCTAAAACACTGCCTAGTGTCAGTGCTAGTGATGCTAGTGGAGTAAAATGTAAAAGGCAGAAGCCAGATATAACCCTGACAAAGAGAGTTAAGAGTGGGGATGAAGGCTGCCGCAGCTGGTCGGTTGTTTGACATAGTGCACTAAGGTAGTAGAAGTTGCGCTTCACAGTTTTGCCTATTCATGCCATTCCTTGGAATCTAACTCCTGCAAATAACAAGAGTTTGTACATACTGCAGATGGTCACATGTTATTTTTTCATTATCTTTCTTCGTGACAAAAAAATATTCATGGTCAACCAAATATTCAGCTGTCTAATCAAAATCTAAAACCATAAACCATCCTTCCCTTGTTTTACAATAATATATATAATAAAACATTCAATAATCTTAAAGTAAACTAATTTGAGCCTCTCCTCTCCGTTAAAATGAGTTGTGAATTCTTTTCCATTTATTATTTCCCAATTTAACGGAAGTTCGTTAAATTGGGTAGAGTCCGTTAAAAAACACACCCATTTCCTTACTGAGACCTTTGCTTCACTTTTGCCATGATTTCATAGCACATATAGGGCAAGAAACAGTCACAAGCAGTGAATGGGCAGATAGCACACACACAGGACACAGACTGAGCAAGCGAGCAGTGCTGTTTGCAGCCGTTTTGGTGGAATTAACGAAATTCTACTCAATTTAGTTCGCTAAATTGGAAAATCAGTAATGGAAAAAATCGTTTCTTAAAATCGGAATTCCTTTAACGGATTCTGTTATATCGAGAAAATACTGTATGGCAACTGCCTTCTACCACATAGGACAGAATACTGCAATAAGAGTAAAATACCAATTTTATGTACTGTACTGAACTTATACTGTATATGTAATTTAATAGAAATGGAAAATTTGGGGAATGGATGTGTTCCACTACCTACACTTGGTTCTGCTGAGAAGATATGTTGAATTAAATCCTCCGCCATCTTTCCCCGTGTGGGAATCAGCCCACATGTTGACTCAGGCCAGCTCACATCACTCTTGTGTTTTGATTACTATGTTTTGCACCTCAGTGTTAACATTATCTTCCCCCAAAAACGATCAATGGATTGCCCAGCATCATTTACAGCAAAACATAAGAGGACTTACTCTGACAGCAAACAAGAAAGTGGAGCTATTACATTGTGAAACCTTATGTAAGCTTGCAAAATGTAGTCAAGTCTTTCATTTGTATTGATTCTCGAGAAAAATTTATTTTTAAAAATGGACTTGGTCCCGAACTATTCTATAAAATTGGTATTTTACTGCACTTACGATAAAATCAATCTGGCCTTGTATATACAGTAATGTACATATCCATAACATGTGCCCATCACTGCACCTTCAAAAGCCAATTACTATACTTAAAAACAAGGAAATAACTGACAGGAGGATTCTCCACATTAACTTTGTAGTAAGGTAAGACTGCTAATACCTACATTGAGACTGTGAGAGAAATAGGAAGGGAGGAGTCTCTCTCAGTATTCAAGTGGGGAACAGGAGCAAATGAAGCAAAGAAAAAATTTAAATTGAGGTGGCAAAACAAAAAGATAAAACCAAAAGGAGTAAGGAATGAATACAATCGTTAAAAGATGGTGTAAACTCTACAAATGGGTGGATAACAAAAACATGAAAACTGCAACTTCTTAATCAGTGTGATAAGCAAAAGTTGGTCCCATTAGCCTGATGGCTTGTTTGAGGCAGTATGGATATAATACACAGTATCCTTCAGTACATGAAGAGGCAGTGTGGCCAGCAATGCACTTGATTGCTTCATTTACTAGTGTAAAATTAGGTAATAACTTACAGATATGTGAAATGGGCATGCTGTGGGTGTGAAACAGTGAACCTTAGGTTTGGAAGCTTGGGCTGTATCTCTGTTTAATTACAGTACAGTACTATACTTTAAAATTTATCGAGTAAGAAATATAAAGCTTCCTTGGAAGTGTGCCACTTTTTGTACTTTTACATGGAGTTCAACACACAATGGAGGATAGAAAAGAAGAAAGTTCAAAGAAGTTAAAATGGGACAGAAGGAAAATGAATATTTAGATGAATGAGATTCATATAAGTTGAGAATTACAGATACTGTAGTACTGTAATGAATATTTCAGAATTTTGGAGCCTCAAAAGTGCAATCATGCCTCAACATACAGGTTTACAAAGGTGCACACACTATGTAATAACAAACTATTCATGCATCACTGTACAAGAGCTTAAGCAATATATACTTTTTTTTTACAAATGCTATTATTATCATACTGTATTAATATTATCATTACTATTTTATATGTTCTATCTGGCTGCATTAAAAACTCATAATTACATAATTGTTTTCAACAAAGGAAAATTAACCATATCATGTAAATAATAAATGTACAGTATTTCATTTGTTCAGATATACAGTACATACTATTCATTTTATTTCAACTTACTTTAACTATAAATCGTCTTGAGGAAAAACACTATAGTGTATATATTAAACATGTTTGTGAGCATAAAACAAACACTAATCAGCCTCCGATGTTTTCAATAAATTCACAGCCCGAGTCCATGGAGTCAGTAGAACTACGAGGTCTTGATTCATCTGAGAGGGAAGGTGAGGGCGGATCATTATCCATGGAGACGCTCTCGGCCACTACCACACCTACATCCTCTGCATTATATTCCACACTGCTCCCCATGTACTCTTGTAGCAGACTGATCAGAAGAGAAAAGTTAAGAACAGTACAGAATACCACTTATAAATTTAACACCTGTACTTGTCATTTTACTTATATACAGGTATCAGAATAAATATCCTGAATCTGAATGGAGGAAAAGGAAGGAGTGATTATAAAATCTTTATTTCCTAGCAAAGCATGTAGTCAGCCTATGGACTTATGATAGAAAGTTAGTAATGTAAGTGATATCTGTTAGACAGAACAATTGGTGCAGAACACGTCTGGGAATGAGAGATTTCCTGGTGACGAGATGACTCTCTTAAAGCCGGAAGAAATCCCACATTCCCGGAATTTTCTTGGAATTTTCCAGAATGATGCATTATTTCATATCTCAAAGTCGGAAGAAAATCCCTCATCCCGAGAATTTCTGGGAAATGCCTGATTCTCACCTCTTAAACCCAGAATAAAAATCCCCCAGTCCCAGAATTTTTTGGGTACTGGGAGAATTTCTCAGAATTTTCCAGGAAATGTGCCCCCTGGAAAAACGTTCCCAAAGCTGGAATTTTCCAAAAATTCCAGCTTTGGGAACAATTTTCCGAGAAAATTTCAATTCCGGCTATCGGAGAATTTCGGTAAAGAGGGATTCTGGCTATCAAAGTTATTACTGGTTATCTCTTTCATCAGTACATACATATACAGTGAACCCTCACTTTACGCGGTCAATTGAACCCATGGAGGCCCGCGTAAAGCGAGAAACGCATAAAGTGAACAACATAACATATGGGATTAAATGAAATAGAGACCGGTTGACCCCCAAACTCCACTTTTTCCGACACAATACTTATGTTCTAGTAAAAATAACATCTTAAATTTATGATGGTACATGCACACAATTAATACTTATGAGAAATAGAGAAATACAGTTGCCAAGTTAATGTCCATTCAAATAATGGACTCGACTCTCTCCCCCTCTTCTCACACTCGCTGGCTCTTCCCTCTCTGAGAAATGTTTGGGGGAAAACCACTAGATTTTAAGGTATAGTAATAAATAATACCTCAAACTAAAGTCAGGATAATATAATTGACATTGCTGGATTCCTTGTAAGACCAGGAATATTTTGAATATAAATGTCATATATTTTGCACAAAAGATAACATATTTACTCACAGTAAACAAAATACTTAAAGTAGATCTAAAATTTGTATGTCTAATGCAAAATCTATGATGTTTATATTCAAAATGATCATCAAATTGTAAGAATTCCAGCAATGTAAATTATATTTCTGGCCCGGTAAGTATGAATTTTATAACAGCTAAAGACATTGACATATTCCTTCATATAAATAATTTTGCACACATATTTGCTCTGAGTAAACAAAATACTTTTATCCGATGATGCTTATATTCTCATCTGTCATATCAAAATACCCCCCCTCCCCCCCTCTTCCCACCTGCTCCCTGGTGGATGCCTCTCCTACCCTGCTTGAAAACATTTCCCAGCTGTTAACCCGGCTCTTAGTGCACATCAAAATGTTAAGATGGCATAGACTCTCCCTCCTGTGAGGATTGTATAGATTTAAGCAACAGTTCCTTTTTCATAATCACCATTGTAATACAGCCATCTTGCAATGTGTGGGCTAGCTGTGATTACCTGTTGCCATCCGGCAAATTTGAAAAATTTTACAGCTGGATGACCTACCGATTGCCAACCCACTTTAATATGGGCATTATATGTAGGATTTCCAAGCAACTTCTTAACTGGCAAGGCAGGATTACTACTCCCTGAAGTAATCAAAGATTACCCACCTACCATAAGAAGTACCACTGTAATGACCACAGTCATACACGTCAGTTAACGCCAAAATCAGACGATTCATATTACGCTCAATAGCCCACAAAACATGTAGCTATGCTTTCGTTTGACTCCTCCATCTGAGGAGTCCGTTTTCTCATCGCTTCAAAACGCCTCAGTCCGCCGTTATCCCATTTTCTCTGGCTTCCTGAAACCAACCTCTCTAAAAAGTAAATCTGAAGGTGAGAGAGAACACCATTGTTTTGAGTCAACTTAGATATATCTGATTACAGTTAAAGCATACAAGATCCTTTGTGAGTGATGTTGAAAGCTTTAACTGTCTTTATTGTTCGTAACACTTGTTAAGTAAGTGAGTGTCGAGTCTGCCAGTACGAATAGCATCCAAGGATATTGTCCCTGGTTAGAGCCAGGCATTTCTGAGTACTACTGAAATTAGATCATTTTGATGCCCAAACATCAGAGAATCTGATGTTTGTAGTTTAGTTAGTGTCAGTTGTCTATTCAAGAAAGCCATTAATCTCCTGAAAGAACATGTCAAACTTCTTATCTCCAAGATCTCAGCCTATACCCATAGAGGGTCCTTGTCTAGAAATTCGCTGATGTTGGGAGAACTAATGTTATCAATGTGTGTATTTCCACTTTTTCCTGGCTAGCTCAATCTCGGATTAGATTATATGAATAGACATAGGAAATTACCCTGATGAGGAACACTGAAGTTCATAATTAAGTATACAGCAATCCAAAATGGTAGGGAAGGTCTGTTGTAAGTGAGATCAACCTTTCTGGTATGAATGTGGGGGCCCGAGTTGCCCCGCGGGAGCACGTATATACCCCTACACGAGGGAATCACGCATTCGTGACTCTCCCTCATCGTTTTTCCAGGTATGTTAACCAGTGTTCCACGCCGCCATATTAATTCAGTTTAACTTAGTCAATTTTGTGATTATCAGTGTTCATGTTCTAACAGTGAAATTGTCATTTACCCAGCGAAAGGATTAATATAACGTAAGTGTCGCCTAGACCGTTGCCAGACGTATGTTCGTATAGTTGAAGTTAAATATTCACGCATTCGTGACTCTCCCTCATCGTATCTCCAGTGTGTTGAGCTGAATACTCATCGGCTACCGTGGGTCGGTAACCCGGTTGAACGATGCCGTTAATTCGACAGGATTAAACTGGGAAGTCCGTTTCCTGCAAATCAGGCACCAGTTCCCTTGGCATGTGTCGGTCTACAACCAACCCCTAACAGCGATCTTCATTTGTTGTAGAGAGACCAGCGTTACCCTGGGGCACTCCTTACAGTTAAATGGGCCTAAGAATTATTGTTGTTGTATATGATTGGTGATAATATATGATTGGTGATGAATAACAGGTTGAGTAGTGATCCCATAACAATTGATGGTACATGTATATGAAAGAAAATGACAAGGAAGAACAATGACTTGGAAAATATAAGCAGAGAAGCTTAAGAGTTACTTATATAAGAATATATAAGAATATAAGGTATATAGAGATAAAAGACATATAAGAATATAAACAAGAATATATAAGAATAAGTATATATATATATATATATATATATATATAAAGAATTGAAGATGGATAACTATATAAAACAGGATACACAGTGAAAAGAATGCTACAAAGAACATGTAAGTATATGAATAAATAAGAATACTAACATTAAAGAATATCTGGATGGTAAATTATAGAGAAAGAAACGGCCCGTTACACCACATGTGTAAAGCCAGGAATAACCCAAGATCACCAGGATTCCTGTTACCTCTCCCACAATTGTTTGTTTGTTTGCTTTTTTTTTACTTTACCTTGACCTGGGAACCATCAGAGTGGTATGACATGTGAACCTGCACATCAGCCATTCATTATATCGGGTACATTTTATGCACCCGGGTACATTATATGCACCAAGCTTCATAAAATTAAATAGAAAATATAATTATGGTTTATTACATATAGAAAGCATAATGACTGCTATATCCCTAAGTCTAGACTAATCATCATCATCACTGTTTTACAGCCATTTTCCACATTTGTGTAAGTTATACACACTGGGAAGATAAAATGAAACTTAAGAAAAATAAAAAAGTAAGATACCCAGGTGATATGGTTGTTAACATTTTAAGTGAAACAATTTAGATAAAATTAGGTACAATATTGTATATAAAATATTGAAAAAATTCTATGAAAATAAACACAATAAGAGTTAGTGAAAATAATACAACATGAAATGAAGGAAAAACTAATGTTTTGTCTTTTTAACAGACTAATGGTCAAGTGAAGACGCCTTCTCTAACACTTACCACTCTAGAAGTGCCTCCTTGGGGATGTCATTAAACTTGGAGATATCAGAACTGACAGGCCACACAAACAGGACTCCATGTTTCTTGTTATTCGTAATGGTACTTGTTGATAGTGACACCTGAAACACATGATTATGACACATTTATAGATTCATAAAATACCAGAATTACTGGTCATATAACATAACAATACTTTTATGACACCTGAAATCAATATATATGTCAACTGATGTAAATTAATATGACACCCATAATAGGTTCACATGTACAATATGTACTGTATATACAGAGAAATTCTACAGCATGGACCTAAAACCAATAATTAATAACATGCATGTGGTCAACCTTCATATTAAGAAGACAAATGGATGATTTAAGTTTAGAAGACACCAATGACAAAAAGTGTCAACAGATAATTTTCTTAAAAAAGTCATGTTCACCTTTGCCTCCTCCTTCAGTTGAATACCTATACCACAGTCATAAACAGAAGCACCAGATATAACAGCTGTGGCACCTTCTCTGAAGTCCATCCCTATGCCACTACAGCCTCGGGCGATTACACCATCAACCTGGGTATTCGTCTTTCCAAGTCCAACAAAACTACCACTACCACCTGTTGATGGAGACATTGATACTTACATGCACACACAAGAAAAAGAGAAAAGAGAGAGAGAGAGAGAGAGTCTGAATGTTGGACGTTAACCGGCGCAGATGGCCTTGCCAAGACTGGCTGCAACAAGGCCACACCTGACTACGTTGTTCCTCGAACACTCTTACAGATTAGGACCCAAATTCGTCGCAAACAGAGAGAAGCTCGGGAAGCAGCCATCCCCCTGGACTACCCGCCCACCTGGTACGATGTCCTCCGTAAACTTCCTGACCTCTTGTACGTCTACGGGAAAGGGTCGCGGAAAGGGGACGTGATTGCTGCCCGTATCATCATTGGGTATGACTTTGCTTGGGAGATTGGTATGCCCGCATCCCCTGAGCAACGCTCTTGTGCATTATGCAGAAGACCCGACAGCCGCACCCTTATTCATTACCTCCTAAGATGTCCCCACACACAACGCTTCCGTGACGCCTGCTGGACCACCACTCCACGACCCCCTGACGGAGACACAATGATCCTTCCCATACTGGCCAGATATTTTGTAATTAATATTGATTATGTGTTAAAGGAATATCCTTCCTTCCTTAGGCTTTAGTAAGCCCCTTTATAATATTTATACTGTATATACTTGTCACACTTGCCAGATGCTTCTGGTGTCATTGTACAGGGGTACCTAGTGACAGCACTAGGATCCCGCTTCCTCTATCAAGGAATAAACAATTGAAATTGAAATTCAATTATATAATATCTCAGACTAAATTTAGGATAATATAATTTGCATTGCTGAAATTCTTGCAAGACAGAGATAAATTTGAATATAAACGTCATATATTTTGCTCAAGATATAAAAAATGTAGTACATTAGTGTACAATACTGTAGTACATTTTATAAAAAGTTTTTCAACTGTATTTTTGGGTAGATTTACATAAATTTCTTCATTTATTTTCACCCATTTACATTCACACACCATACTAAAAGAAACATAAAATAAATTAGTGCAAAGCTGGACTGCACATGTACTAATTTGATTATGGTACCAAAATTGTTATGTCTAGTGCGAATTACAACATGTTTATATTCAAATAAATCATATCTTACAAGAATCCCAGCTATGTTAATTATATTTTCCTAGGTCATATCACTGGCATTTTAAAATGAGAGAAGCTTAGTAGGACTGTTAAATAAACACACAGAGACCTTCGCCTCAAACTTATCACCTCAACCCCCCCACCCCCTCACTGGGTGGCGGAGCCGTCAGTCCCCCCCCCCAGCCAGGCTTTCAGGCTTACAGTTTTTATCTTATATAATATCTCAGACTAAAGTTAGGAGATTAAAGTTAGGAGATTATAATTTGCATTGCTGGAATCCTTGCAAGACAGCCAATAATTTGAATATAAATGTCATATATTTTGCTCAAGAGATAAAAATTGTTGTACATTAGCATACAGTACTGTAGTACATTTTATAAAAAAGTTTTTCAACTGTATTTTTGGGTAGATTTACATAAATTTCTTAGTGCAAAGCTGGAGTGCACATGTACTAATTTGATTACGGTACTAAAATTGTTTTGTCTAGTGCAAATTATAGCATGTTTATATTCAAATTAATCAGTATGTTACAAGAATCCCAGCTATGTTAATTATATTCACCCAGGTCATTTCACTGGCTTTTTATAAGAGAAAAGCTTAGTCACCTAAGAACTGATAAATATCCAGGCGTTAGACCTGGGCCTGTGCCAACTGTCAAACGTTCTACCTCCCCTCCCCCCACGCCCCCTCGCTCGCTCCCACCCACTCTCTCCCCCATCTGCTGGCGTTGCTGGAATCCTTGTAAAACAGTGAATAATTTTAATATAAACGTCATGTATATTGCACAAGAGATAAAAATTAATCACATGTATCACATTACAGTAGTGATTTAAGAGTAAAAGTGTATATGTACGTATATAGTATTCCACATACACGTAAGTATAAATAAAAAGTTTATGTGATGATCGGACAACGTCCATTTCGGTTAACATCACGTTTCCAAGAACGTATCTAGGATGTTAACCGGCGCATGACTGTAATTACAAAATGTAGCCACCCACCCTCCCCCCTCCCCAAAAGAGAGAACACAAGCAAACCTATTGCATTTCTAACCCACCTCTATGAATAAAAAGACTGGCTGTTCCATCCTCTTGATACTACAGAACTATAGTGAATTTGTTCTCCAATCCTTGGATACAGTGACATCCTATACTGTATATAAAATATTTGAAAACTAAATCAAAGTTTTCTGTACAGGGGGTATTGATGTCTTGGAAAATTAAAAGTTATATAGTACTGTATAAATTTTTTTAAATACCAAAATGAAACCACTCATTCAAAATTGATTGAAGGTCCATTTATCTTGCATGAGTATTAAACAATCCAGGGAGGTATATACTAGACTAACAACTGATACGATAATTAAAATACATTCATATGTGCTACTGTGAAACATACAATACTGGATAAGTGATATCTCCATTACTCAGAACTCTAAATTTGCTCCAAATTTTTCCGGATTTTTTCTCAATTCCGGGTTTATGAATAATTTTCCAAGGTTGAAAATCAGGCACATCTCCTGAGATTTCTGGAAACTCGCTCCACTTTTTCTGGGTCTGGGAGCAAATTCTGAAGATGAAATAATGTGTCATTCTGGAAAATTGTGTGAAAATTCCAGAAACTCTCAATTTTTTTCCGGGTTTGGAAGCAAATTTCAAGGAGGAAATAATGTGCAAATTCCGGAAAATTCCGAGAAACTTTTCCCAGTATCCAGAAAATTTCTGGGGATGAGGGATATTTTCCGGGTTTGAGAGAGTCGTCTTGTTACCCAGAAATATCTCATCCACAGAAGTGCTCTGCACCAACTGTTCTGGCTAATGGAATATCACTACACATTAAAGCCATGAAGACAGACACACACACACACACAAAATGTAACACATAAGGCATTACCTTCAAAAGTGACATTGTTTAGTGTTAGGATGCCCTCATGGTGAAGAACTGCCACTTGATTACTGGCAGGTCTTACAGTTATATTCTGCAAGGAAAATGTCCCTGAGGTGTCCATTAGGATGTCTCCGGCTTCCTCCATCCCTTGAATCACTACTCCATCTCCAAGACCTATAAATATTAATTGTTCTTTATTATCAATAACAATGTCCATGCAAAATAACATATCCCATCATTGCGACAACGCCAAAAATAATTCTTAGCTATGCTCTCCCATCACTCACATGCTCTATTGCTTCCTCGATGTTTGTCTCCCTCACTTTAGTTCTCAGAAGATCGTTTCATCTCCTTACCAGCTTTTTTCTGTCCCTCCTACCATCCATTTTTTTTTTAATTTTTCTTGTCTTATTCTCCCAATATATCTTCATAACAGGTTAACAAGTTGTTTATTCCCATTTATCCTACACAGGCCATTGGCCTCCTTCCCCTGGCATGACCACCTCTAGTCCAGTTCATAAAAATCTGTGGGGTTTGTTTGGGTTTTAATACCTAGACACAGTGCTATAATACACAAGGTGCTAAAAATGGGATATAAGGACATAGAACCCTTAAAAAAAGCTTACCTATTAACATGCCACCTTCACTAATTTGTCTCAAGTGGCTGAGTAAATGTATTCCTGGTAACACCACTACAACATCTTCCTTCTTAGTCATGTCCAGGGCCAGCTGGAGGCTCGGATATGTCTCACAAGGTTCATCATCATGAAACTGAAACAATGGGTTATCAAATAAAAGTTCTCACTGTGTAAGAACACTTTTCCTCTTTAAGACAGATATTCATGCATCACACACCTGTTCTATGTACCTTTCCTTTTGCATGAATAGAAGGTCTTCTCACCATTAGTAAAGGCAAAAGCCTCCTAAACTTCTTCCAGCTACTCCTGATTCTTGCAAATGAGCTAGTTTAGCACCACCTCCAGCACTGATCGTGGCACCCAGGTAGTAAAACTTATCATCACAGTCCATGAATATATTCCTGATGTTGAGTTTTTCAAGTTTTGCTAAGGCTACATGTATGATTACCTGCACATGCAGTACCATACATTCAAGTCAGCAATAGCTTGCAATCTACCATTTACACCAGTGCATCTCATGCACCCACCAAAAGAGTAACTTTTGGTGTTTGTGTTATTCTGGTTGAACTTAAGTAGTTACACACAAGAAATACACTCTGCCACGTTCGTAGAGTGATACAGTATATATAATTTGTAATAAAAGTTTAAAGTCCCGCTATAATAGTAGAGATAAGTTTATTTCTCTAGAAACAGGGCCGCCATTTGCAATGACCAGTGGTGGGCACAGTTCCGCTAATTAGCGAAGCTAACTTTTTTGTTAGCGGATTAGAGTTTTCGCTAACTGTGGAAACCATTAGCGGACCAATTAGCTTCCGCTAAATTTAGTTCTGCTAACAAAATTTATACATGTTTGTTCCTGTCTGTTGTAAGCGTGTGACGCCGCGACGCGTGTCTCCAACAGCCAATCAGGCACGCTTGGCTAACTGCGTGTTAGTACGTGCAAAGATATCTTGAGGGCCAAGAGAGCCACCCTGTCAGATGGCAACTTTGAGAGGCTGACGTTTATGAAGGGCAACCAGCATCACGTCGAGGCGATGGAGAAGGCCCAGCCACTGCAGCTGGAGTGAATGGAAGTTTTTGATTATTAAAGTTTAATACTATTTTTTTTTACAGTATATAAGGACTGTCAGTGTATGTTGAAAGAATCATAGAATATAAATGTAAACTGATGTATAATTTCATTTCTCATTTACCTGTATTTGTTAATTTAATTAGGATTTTTTTGTGTCAATATATTTGGTTATGCTAAGTACTGCATTAGTTCATAACCAGGATGTCATCCAAGGTGTGCGCCAAACAAAATTTTCTAAAAACTTACTTTTCATTAAAGTTTAGAGTTTTCTGTTTATTTACATGACTAAGACCAACAATAAGTTATATTAAAATGCACTGGTATAATGACTAAGACCAACAATAAGTTATATAAAAATGCACTGGTATAATGTGTATGTGGTTGGTATTGCATATTTACATGAATAATGAATAAGGCCGATAGGTTGTATGAGAATGCAAATTAATTATTTGTGAAATTGTGTACAGTGTACACCTCAATAAGTTGATCATCATCTGATCTTGGCATGATGCTATTTGCTACCTATGCTATACAGGACTATAGTTTTTGGATTTGTTTAATACTTTGTGTCTTTTCGTACAGTAAATAAAGATTATAAAGTGTATGTTGAAACTTGAATGTAAAATAAAGTTTAATTTCATTTCTTCATTTAATTATTTGTGTACACCTTGATCATCATCTGATCTTGGCATGCTATATCTTTTTTGAAAGCTCTATGTCTAAGCTACAAGACAACATATGAAAATTTCAGCTCTCTCAGTCTGTTTTTAAGGGTTTTAGAGCCCCCCCCCCCCCAAAACGAAGCTAAATTCACATAATAAAAGTTAGTGGTTAGCGTTAGCTTCCGCTAATTTTTTTAGCTGTTTAGCGGTAGCAAAGTAAAATTTTTAGTTAGTGGATTAGCGGTTAGTGAAGCTAACTTTTCGCTTAGCTGTGCCCACCACTGGCAATGACATAACCAGTTTCCCAGCAGACGACGTTCTCCAACAAACTCACCGCTGCAGCCAGTGGTTAGTACAAAGGATGGCCTCTTCAGACCCTAAATGCCACGTTCAGCTAAGTTTTAAGGGTGTTATTTATGGTCTAAGTCATGGACATTTCGTAAGTGAAGAAATGTGCCATGAAGAGCAGCTTATGGACATAAAAAGCTCCCATGTTCACACCAGCTCAGCTGCCATGTGTTCTTATCCGGTAGACTCTCTTTTTTTTTTCCAGTGCATTTACAGAGTATATAAGTACTAGATGAGATATGAGTCAATTTAGAAGTAATGACATTGTCTGGACTTTGTTTTGAGAATGCATTGGGAGATTTCATCAATTATATTAATTAATGGGTAAAATGTTACTTTAACTACCATAAGTATTCGAGAAAGGCTATACAGTGGTCCCTCGATTAATTAACACAATTGGTTCCACAGAGATGGCTGTTAACCAAAAATTTCGTTAACTGAAACTATTATTTCAATAGGATATTGAGTAATTGGTTCCACCTCACAGAAAGTATACATACAAAGTACTGTATACCAGAAATAGAATTAACAAAACATTAAATTTAAACTAAATACAGTACTGTACTGTACAGTATACTGTACAATAATTAATAAAAAACAATAGAATACTGTATTTCAACTTACTTTGAGGTGTGTACGGTATGTCGTATTCCCGGCAGCTTTGTTTACATATCAAACAGCTGATTGTAGAGGCAGTCGATGATGACATGCCATATTCTTTACAGAGTGCATTGGTTCTAATGCCTTCTTCATGTTTCATAATAATTTCTGCACTGTATGTTATCAATATGTTAACTAAATTTCAGAATGACCAATAATTTTAATGTAAAAATGCAAAAATATTCAAGAGACCAACAAACTCGATGTTTACTCCACTGTAAACAAAGTTAAACTGAGAAGCGTTGGTGGGTGATTCGATCAGCTGAAAGGCAACAAAAACTGTTCCCTGTACTGTACACATTATCAATATGTAACTAAATTTCAGAGTGACCAATAATTTTAATATAAAAAATGCAAAAATATTCAAGAGCACAACTTTCTTGATGTTTACTCCACTGAAAACGAATGTAAACATAGAACCAATTACTATATTGGCTGACTAGCTGATCAGCTGATTGGTTGATGTGCACAACAAAGCATGTTTCTCCTAAGGCTTTCGTTAATCAAAGTTTTGTTTATTAATGGAACTGAAAATCCTTATGGGAGCTAATTCGTAAACCAAAATTTCGTAAATTGAACCGTTTGTTAATCGAGGGACCACTGTATTGGGTAAATTTTAAGTTTTGGTCATCCCTGTACTGTACTTACACATGCAGACTATGTTTTTTCTGATGGTTTGCTATGTGTTATGAACGATTTATACCTTCATTTCTATCGGAAATCACTAGTTTTGAGTTACTACCCCCCCTCCCCCTTACCGTTGTATGTTTAGTTAACCTTATAACTTATAATATAACTCATCATACCCTAACCTAACATATGACCTGTATTTTCTTATGCGATCGAAAAATGTTTTGCGACAGAAATCCCGAAGAGATAATGTGTCTTATTGTTTAAAGTACTTAATCCCATTGTTAGAATCTTAAGGTTCCCCAGATGACCAAAACCATTGAATGAGTTAATGTGCTTCATAATATTTATACCTGTACGTATATTCAATATAGCATTACTGTGTTGCACAGTAAAGCACAATTAATTATCTAATAATATTTATTTACAGAGCCGATCAGCTGAGAAGGTTGGACAACTACTTCCAGGGTTATCAAGGCAGATGAAAGAAATTTACCTCAATGTCTGTACGATTGTAGAGTATTATCAAGAACTCCACCATGCAGCTTTGAAGCATGTTAAATTACATCTTAAGCCCATCCCCTGGCCATGGTCGTCCCTAGTCCTTCCTCAAAATTAAATATAGACATCAGTGACAAAAATTACATTTTCCAGACATGAAATAGAGAACAGTGATGAAAACTTCCATGTTGGAGTTATCGGTCTTTTGCATCCTTTTGGCACCCAGAAGTAAATACACACGATGCTACTTGAACAGGTATGCCTGTGTATATCAACATTGTATTTGGCCACAAGTCCTGTATTCCTACTGGTAACAACACATACACCACAGTTGGCTGCCTCCAGGCTCCTGCTGGGCGGCTCGAATCAACCTGTGACGTCACAACCAATCACATAGCTTTTCTCAGTCATGTGACTTTTTAGCGAATTTTACCCTAATTTTTTTTTTATACCTTTTGGCCCAATTTATTTAAAAATATCATTACTATAGTGAATTTAAGCATTTTCTTTACCCATTGACCTGCCATCTTATGAACAAATTCTGACCGACAACTTGTCTACAGTATTATACAGATGTCAAATTGCAGACAACAGATCCCTAACATCACGATAAACACATAAAATGGGTCTTCAGACAAACCCTTGATGGACCCCTACTTTCACCTCATATTCTAGACCACTTACTCTCACATCAGTTCTCAAACTCGGCACTCCTCGACCTACAACTCTCTCATTGCTCACTGCACTCCCATAAATGGTACCATGTCAAAGGCCTTCTTTAAGTCTACAAAATACAAAGTAAAGCTTGCTCTTTTTCTCTCGATATTTCTCATGTAATTGACTAGCCATAAATATTGCCTCTGTAGTCATCAGGCTAAATATAAACCCAAAATGCATTTCATTAATGCATACTCTCTCCCTTATTTATTTCTCAAACATTCTTTACATAACTATCATAACCTGATCTATGCTTCAGACCCCTTTAAGTTCCCTGTATGTATAGGATTCACAATCACACTTCTCAGCCAGTCAGCTAGAAAATTACATTTGGTTTATCCTTGTCACTCTACACATTTTATCATCATCCACCAATAACACCATCACCAAAGCCACTTGATGGCATCCTTTATGTTAAATATACCAAAAAATTAGAAAAACCAGTTTTATCTCTATTCATTTATAATCTTGATATTAATCAATGAAAAAAAAAGTTGGCATAAACAAAGTAATAAATCCTTCACCTGTGGGAGACATTTAATGAGGTCAGGCAATTTAGCCATGTGCAGTGCCAACTCTCCAATGGGTAGGGAGTCAACCACCACCTTCAACTTAGCAATTCTGGCCCCTGCCTTCAGGCTCACCATCCTGCACCGCTCTATTTGTTGCTCGTAGTTTGACAGTTCTCTGACAAAGAAATATTGCACAACAAAGGTCATCTATATCAGCAGACACATGAGGCGGTCATATAGTAAACCAATGGAAATGCAGACATGGAGGAGGTTAAGTGAAGGCTTTATGGATTGCAAGAAAGATTTAAAGCAGTAAGAACCATTATTTTTCTTTTATATCAGCAAGAAAAATGTACCCATCTGGTGTTAACAATGCTAATCAACACCTCTGACAAATTCTATTTTAAATTCTCTAAGGCTGATTAAAGTTGTTATTTTGAAGAGTAGATAAGAATGTATTAAGTACTGACATGAAACTGTAAGGTTCACCCTCACAGATAGTAGAAGACATCATCTTGCATACAGATTGATAAATTATATACAATAGAGTACTATCTCCGTTAGCCGGAATCCCTCAAACCTGGAGCTCTCCGATAACCGAAATTGAAATTTTCCGAGGGGCACATTTTCCGGAAAATATTCCCGATAGCCGAAAAATTCTGGGGACAGGGCATTTTTTTTCCCTCCGAATTTGAGAAATAAAAATCTGGTGCATTTTTGGAAATTCCAAGAAAATTTCTCAGATACCCGAAAAATTCCGAGGATAGGGGACATTTTTCCGGGTTTGAGAGAGGTTGTAATGAGCAATTTCTGGAACTTCCGAGAACATTTTTCTGTTACCCGGAAAATTCTAGGGATGAGGGATTTTTTGGGGGGCTTTGAGAGTCGTCTCGTTACCCAATTCTCATTACATCGTTTCTATCATTTATCTTCAAAAGACTTTCTGGTAGTTTCTAACCTAAAAACTGGATCCTGAAGTATTTCATATCGAGCTTTAAGTTGCTCCATCTGCTTGTGTAGCTGGATGAGACGGGTAACATCAACCTGGTCAACCTCTTCCCCTTCATTGAAAGACTCTATCATCTTAATCTCATTCTCTACAATGCTGGCTTGCTTGACAAGATTTCTAATCTCTGTGCCAGCAGCTGAAGGAATGTGACCCATCTCTATATCCTGGTACCTGGTAAAAAATGAGAAACACTGCAATGAAATGTTGTTTAAAAATCTCTAAAACAAATGCTAATGATTGCAGTGGTACAATATAAAGTATCTAATGAAGCTGTTTGATAAAGTAGCTAACCATTAATGGTAAAGAAAAAAAGTGAGACTGCTCATATGTAAGTGCGCACATGTGAAAACATATCGTCATTACTCTACATAAGAATATGAAAGCAACACTTATTTACTGATCATATATATTGAAGGGTTAAATGTTGTACTCTGTATAGACAACCAGAGAGAGAGAGTGCAGCCGAACTGCCGGATGTAAACAAACCTTAATTTCCCGGGGCGGTTTTTTTTTTTATGGGGATTAGCCCACCCGGGCATAGGTCACTGACCCACATTGGGGCCTGAGGGACAAAAATTTAATACTCCTGTAATAATAATAATAATAATAATAATAATAATAATAGTAATAGTAATAATAATAATAATAATAATAATAATAATAATAATAATAATAATAATGCAGAAAAGTAATAAAAAAAAAAAAAAAAAAAGCTGCCTATCTATCTATTGGACAAAATGAAATCATTCCGAACCACGGGAGTTTCCGGACCACAGAATGCCGGACTAGAGAGGTTAAACCTGTATAGTCCAGAATGCGACGTCGACATCACACCCATCTCCACCCCTCGAGAGTGAACATTTGTTTACTGCTCGCTCTAGGGCAAGAGATGACGGTAGCAATGCATGTGATGGAGGGTGCGAGAGGAGGTTTTGAGAATTGCAATTAAATGCCAGGTAGCAACGTGTCCTCCTAATATTACGTATTAAGTAATTATTAGATGTTTTAATTGCCTGTATGTTGTCCTGGCGAGTTATTGCTAGGCATTAACATACTGTACCTAGGTATAAAGATAGGCGTCGCATTCTGTATTGAACAAAAAAAGCACATATTGTGAGAACTTTTGAAGAAAAAGTCAAGATACACCCTCCCCCCTGTAGTGGACTTGTCAAGGAGTGGTATATCGAACTCTGAAGTTGTGCGCCAGTTACCCTAGTATAAAAAAGGGGTTATATGTATACATACAGGGGGAGCCAAATACGCACTTATGCAGGGATTCCAGGAATGCAACACTCGCATACTTTAAGACCTTACTGTACTATACATATATAATATGGTCGAGAAAAGTAAATGCCTCACACATTCTGGAAAATGAGAGTGATGATTAAGAATACTGAAATGAACATGTACGTCACTAACTGGATACAAGGAAAATTATGATAGATATTGTGAGATAAAAACACCTGTGTTGGGTCTACATAAGCAGAGACAGGTTGAAGAAACTGCATTGGCATTGCAGAATTTCTTTATGCATATACTGTACTGTACATGTTAACACATGCAATTTTATTAACATTGAGCTTCCAGATACATTAATATCCCCGATAGCCAGAATCTTCGCTCCCCGGAACTTTCTAATACGTACCCGAGAAATAAAATTTAGTATTCCAAGTAAAATCACTCTGTTCCAGCCTTCAAATGAATTTCAGAGTTATTGCATCATGAGTCGATGTGTGCTGAGCACACGAGTGGGTAGGCTTAGAGTGATCATGCACTGCGATTGGCTAATACTGTACTGTCATGTGACTGCAGATGATGCATATGATTAGCTGATGCTTTTTACAGTCTATCACCTGAAACTCTAGTATAATGATGTGCCTAGTTCACTGTCTGCTGCCATTGTACAGTAAAAGTCCAAAAATCAGGATGCCAGAAATCCGGACCACCCGAGAATCCGGACTTTTCGAAAGCTTTTTTTTTTATTTAGCGGGCTTTTGTGTGCATGTGCGCATGCATGAGCGCCACAGCTGCACAGCAACAACAAGCGACCACGTGGTTGCCACTTTAAAACGAGCATTCAAACTGTGACAACATACCGTATATACTCGTCTATACCCCCCTCGTTTATAGGTCGACCCTGATTTTTTTACCCAAGAAATAGTTAATTTATGATATTCCTCATTCATAATTCGACCCACGTTTTTGAGGGTAATGGAACAACAAAACTTTCAGTAAAAACGCTCTACGTCCTATAAACTGAGGCTCGCCGTGCCTGAAACACGAGTGCCGAAGGCAAATTGTTTACCATTTATTATTACGACACTACACTGAAACGCGGGTAGTTTCAACAAAAATATTGTATATTTCCATTCAAGTATTTATTCAAGTCAATTAGGAGGGAATATTATTGTAATAAACCAGTTTTTAACTAAACCATTCGAAAAGCGATTACGGTAACATCTTTTGAACGAAAGAAAGCGAAAGTCATTGTTTTCGTCACGATTTTATCCCACTTTCCACTGTAATACGTACGTCATTTCAGCAAAAATAATACATTTCATTGAATGCATTATATCAAGCACAGTATGAATAGAATACCATTGTAATAAAACAATACTTTGAGTCCTACTCTTTCCATTTACAGAGTACTGTACAAGCCCATAAAAATGGCTCCTAAAGTAGATAAACTTCGTTGTGTGAAGAGAAAGAAGAACACGTTGAAATTGAGTGACAAACTTGAAATAATTAAGAAACTAGAACGTGGTGTGAGTAATACTGTTCTAATGGAAACATACGACATTGGAAAGTCTACAATTTATGATATAAAAAAGGCAAAGAATAAAATTCTAAATTCACAGCTTTTTCATTAAAATTGCTCGTTTTGATAAATGAAGCATGCAATATTTGCTAATGAATAAACTATCAAAATGTACCTGTTCATCTCTTCTTTATTCCTCCTTAAATTTGAATTTTAAAAGTACTGCCTGAGAATCCAGAAAATCCGGACCGACCCAATCCCCAAGCAGTCCGGATTTTTGGACTTCAACTGTACAAACTTGTTCACTCACTTGCTGTTGTTTTCACATGTGTTGTGCAGTACTTTACATTATTGTAACAGAATACAATTAGCCAAGAATACTGTTAAGGCAGAAAAAGTTAATACAGTTATGTATACTGTACTGTACACAGCAGAGTGGACAGTATATGTATAGTATACAGTCCTTCCTTCATGGAGGAAGAGGAGTGTGACAGATAGCAACACCTTCTGCATCACAAACTCAAGACGACAGTATCTGTAGGTGATCATAGTGTAGTACAGTAATGTATAGTGTATCCAGTAGTACGGTATACTACGTTTTACAACATACTGTACTGTATGTGTATATAGTAGTGTTTGCATAAGTAAACACTACAGCTCTGTGTCTGTCCAACTGCAGTTAAGCCTCTGTAGCAATGGTGCTCCATGCCAGATGCATAATTTAGACTTGGAAATATTCACAAATGCCTGGAAAAATTCTGTAAATTTGCATATTTTTCCACGGATAAGAAAATTTGTGTCAATACCCAAAATGTTTTGCACCAATTGTTCTGGCTATCAGGAATATTACTGTACAGTAATAATAAGACAACATGAATTACTGTATACACTATCGGTGACATTATAGATCAGTTTATAATTCCCATAAACATACAATTTCAGACGAGTAGTGATAAGGTAGTGGTCATAGCAGCAGTTTTCTTCTTCTAGATCCCAGGCCTGCCAAATGTGCTCGTAAAAAAACCTGAAATATACACAAATACAGTCAACAACTAAAGTCCGTTCACCTCTCCTCCTGAACCATGAACCTCAAAATTCAGACTCATGAACCCGAAGCAGTAGACTGATATACAGTATGCCCTCCAAGTTCTCGGTTCTCGGTTATTCGCGGATGACACCCTGGATGTACCCAAGAATGCCTGTGGGTAGTTTTTAAGTTGCCAGCATTTTTGCGGCTGGGACAGGGAGCCATTCATTCTAGAGACTGTAATTTCCTTTACCTGTATTATAAATATGTGTGTGTGTGTGTGTAGACACACACACACACATACAAATAAATAATAATTGGAAAATCCTCTCACAAATAATCAGAAGCAAATTTATTAAAAATGTGAGTCTACCCTCAAGTCCGTGCACTATTACTTTATTAATAGAGCATGAACTTGAGGGTAGAATGTCAAATTTTTTATAAATTAGTTTCTGATTATCTGTGAAAGGATTTTCCAATTATTATTTAATTGTATGTGTTTTTTGTGTGTGTGTGTGTGTGTGACTATACACACACACACACACAAATACAATTCTACAGGTAAAATAAATAATTGTCCTAAGGCCAAACACATAAAAGGAATAAACATTTCTCTGTACACAAGTAAAAATGTAGCCCCCCTGGTCCGCAAACGTTAGTCGCGGATTTGGCGATAAGGCGGCCATTTTGAGAACCTAACCCCCGTGAATTTGGGGGGCCCCCTGTATTAGTCTGTCCATAAATGCTTAGGATTCACGAGTCTGAATCTCGGGGTTCATGGCTCAAGGGGAAAAGCAAATGGACTTTAATAGTTGACTGTGCATGATAACTCACAGAAAACGATATAATCATAAAATTATATGAGTATATATCACATACCTAATATAATATACTCATTGCCTGTAAAAACTATATACTGTACACACACAGCCTCCCTATATGCCAGTGTCTTGGGACCCATAAAAGCCACAAAGCCTACAGCTCACCATCATACCTCATAACACAGGGACACTCAAAATCCTAAAAAATGGATATTTTCCATCATCAATTACCGAACAATGATCATACATTTTGTTGTCCCAGGAAACAGAAAATACTCTGGACTTTTTCTTCACCCCTCACCTGTGTTTTCATGACATTACTCTCTTCATCCATAAGATTTAATAAACCTTTATTCTATTTCCAACACATACTATACCATTACTATTTCTCACGTCTCTCCATCCCCAAAATCTAACATAAAAATACCCTGTACAGTACTCTCTATCTTTATTTCTTTTGTTGGGAAAGTAAGCTAGTGACTTGTTTAATCACCCCAATGTCAAAGCTTACACGATACATGGTCTTTAAAATCTCTCCTAATTTCTTTTTTACATACAGTATACTGTATTCCCTCGTAAATCCCACCACCTGAGGCATCTTGCACATGGTCATCAGAGAATTATCACTGAAGAAGATCTGAGTAATCATTACCTAATCTGGTCCAGAATCTCAGCAGTGGTCGTAATATCCAGAACATCATTTTCTTGTTCAGCAAGTGGATACAGTTCCATCAGCGGCACAGTAACCTAAAGAATAAAAGTGTGTGTGTGAAATGGAAATTCGGTCAATTAAATAAAGTGCCATCTTTAAGTATGAGCACTGGCTACCATGGTCCATCACTCCAAATGTTTTCAGGCTATCTTTAACAATCCCCCTAAAATTTGTATCACTCCATGGACCCAGCCTTTAATTTAAATCATCTATCTATCCATCCATCCCAATCTCTGCCTTCTGGGTTTTCTCATTAAATTTTCCCCATCTAAAATTATTCTCTATACCCCCCTCGTTTATAGGTCGACCCTGATTTTTTTACCAAGAAATCATTAATTTATGATATTCCTCATTTATAGGTCGACCCACATTTTTGAGGGTAATGGAACAACAAAACCTTCAGTAAAATCACTCAACGTCCTATAAACTGAGGCTCGCCGTGCCTGAAACACCAAGTGCCAAAGGCAAATTGTTTACCATTTATTATTATGACACTTTACACTGAAACGCAGGTAGCTTCAACAAAAATATTGTATATTTCCATTCAAGTATTTATTCAAGTCAATTAGGAGGGAATATTATTGTAATACAACAGTTTTTTAACTAAACCATTCGAAAAGCGATTACGATAAACATCTTTTGAACGAAGGAAAGCGAAAGTCATTGTTTTCGTCACGATTTTATCCCAATTTCCACTGTAATACGTACGTCATTTCAGCAAAAATATTACATTTCCGTGAATGCATTATATCAAGCACAGTATGAATAGAATTCCATTGTAATATAACAATATTTTAACCAAAAACTATTAAAAAAACGAGTAACTTCTCTTGAACATCGGAAGGTTAGGTAAAATCTTTTGTTTTAGTCATGTATTTTATCCTATTTTACATTAAAATTTATCACGTTTCAGCAAAACTGCTATTTATTTCCGAGAATATATTCATTCAGGCACAGTTAAGGTAAAATATACATGTGATGTAACAGTTTTTTAACTGAAAACGATTCGAGAAACACGTGTACCGTCTAGCTGATACAGCTGGTGGTGCGTGATGCTTCGCTGTAAACAATAGGAGGTTGAAGTAGATTACCGGGTATTATTTTAAGTGTGAAATATCGAAAAGGTTTTTATTACCGGTATTTTTTGTAGATCAATGAGAACTGGATACCGTATATGATATGATAAGTTAGCCTGTGCTAAGAACTTCAACATAGACTACTGAAAGCACGTTGTAAGGTAATTTAGCCTATTGTAAGTTGGTGAGCTTCATTTACTGAAGGAACTGCACAACTTTTCATTACTAATTGGTACATATTTTACGTTTCCATTGTTTACTGGCAGTAAATGGTAAATATTTTTCATGTCTGAAGCTAAAAGTTGCTCCTCACCCTTCCCATCATGCACGGGTTCAACCTAACAAAACTATTACACATGTAGAGGTCGACCCCCAATTTTTTGCCTAAAAATTTGGTCTTAAAAACTCGAACTACACACGAGTATATACGATATCTAAATGATAAATTTTAACATCCTGTCAATGTTAAAGTCTTTCTTTTTAATACAGATTTATTAATTAGGTAGGAGACAACCTTCTTACCTGTTCATTTTTTTGTTGCTGTAATAGCTTGACATCATCCTCAGGAAGATCATTCTTGACTGGCTTTACGATTTCTACATCAGCTAACAGTTCTTCACGACTCACATTAACTACCTGAAAAAAAAAACAAAGCGACTCAAAAGGAATTTTTCATTGTAGTGCAGTGTATCTAGAGATAATTATCCAGGCATACATAAACACATGGTTTGGAAAACAAACACACACACATAAAACCTTGTACTAATCGCTACAAGAACAGTCCCATTACAACCATTGTAAAAATCATCAACTCATATATATCGTGTCCATTTATTGTTTGCTAATCTTCCTTTCGTTCTGTAACTACAGTGAAATAACCTTCTCCCCCATGTCATCATACTGTATATTATATATGTACAGGAGAACCCCAGTTATCTGGTTTCCAGGCAACCAGTAGATTCACCTAAACGACACCAAAATGAAATAATAAAAATTACTCCAAAATCGCTAGTACAGTACCGTAAGTTTGAAGACCATGAGCAATGGGGATGAGCTGCCATATTTATTGCTATGATAAACAATACAGTAATATTAATAATAGTATTACAGGTGCTCCCCGACTTACGACGGGGTTAGGGACCCAAATCCAGGTCGTAAAATAAAAAATCTACAATGAAATACAGTACAGTAAAACTAATAAATAATGAGGAATGGATACAGTACAGTAAAAGTAATAAATAATGAGGAATGGATACAGTGTGACTGAGCACTTAACTTTAATGTAGTCAGCTGGATGCACACAGGGCCTCCATAATTTTCTATTTCCAGGATACATGGAGAGACTATTAATTGGATGAAGCAGAGGAGGAGACAGGGCTGGGTGGGTCATCAATGTCTCTTTCTTCAGACAGGTTTATGTACTGTGGAAACTTGCTGGTTGAAGGTATTGGATCATCTTGAGGGAGTGAAGAAGCAGCACTGGTGGGGCGTGAGGAGACAGCACTGGGGGACTTCTTAAAATAGATGTCTAATTTAGACTGCACAGTTTGTTTTTTATTTTCATTATAAATTTCTCTGTAGCAAGCAAGTGCATCTTGGATCATTCTGTCAACTTTGGCATAATGCTCATAATTTTGATCCATGCCATCAAACATTTGCATTCCATTATTAATTGTAGCAAATGCCTCTGCCATTTGTTTCACTGAAAACTTTTTGGGGGGTGCCAGTTCTTCTTCTACATTTTGTCTCTCTTCTTCCTCTGCAATTTTCTGTGCATCTAGTTCAATAAGATCCTTGTTACTGAGCTCTTCTGCTACAATTTCAACCAACTGTCCAACATCTTCATTATCAATTTCTAACTCCAGCTGTTTACCTAACTCCACTATCTTGTTACAAATATCCGAAATAACTTAATTTTCATTAAATCCTTTGAAACTGTTCACATATCTTTTCAGGATTTTCTTCCATATTCCATTCATGCAATGTTATGTAACCTGATCCCATGCTGCACTAATGTTTTTATACGTGACAAAACGTTGTACTCCTCCTAAAACTCTGAGCGTTTTCTCACCTTCAGTAGCAGCAACAGCCTGAGCGAAGGCCGTGCGTAAATAATACGCTTTAAAGGCAGCAATAGCACCTTGATCCATGGGTTGGATGATAGAGGTAGTGTTAGGTGGAATGTAGACTACCTTAACATCAGGGTGCATGTCGTCCAGGTGTGGTGGGTGTCCCGGAGCATTATCCAAAATCAGCAAAATCTTGAATGGAATCCGTTGTTGCAGACAGTACTCCTTGGCTCGTGGAATGAAACAAGTCATGAACCAATCCTCAACAGTGCTAAAGTCATCCAGGCTTTCCTATTACTGTGATAAAACACTGGCAGTGTGTGCTTGCTGACATGTTTAAAAGCCCTGGGGTTCTCTGAATGATAGATCATGAAGGGCTTTAGCTTGAAACCAGCAGCATTCCCCCCCCAACAGAAGTGTAATTCTGTCCTTGAATGCCTTGAATCCTGGCATTGTTTTCGCCTCTTTGTGGATGTATGTCCGCTCAGGCATGCGCTTCCACAATAATCCAGTCTCATCCACATTAAATATTTGATCAGGCAAATAATTCCCTTCCACAATCACTACATCTAACTCCTCCTTAAAAGCTTCGGCAGCACCAACATCGGCATTAGCTGACTCTCCACTCACCTTAACATTGTATAGACTGTAGCATTTTTTAAATCTATCAAACCACCCATGACTTCTTGTAAAGGTTTGATCACATTCATCTCCTGCCTGCTCCTTCAGGCTTTGGAACAGGCTTCTTGCTCTAGCCTGTATGGTTAGAAGGCTTAAGGGTACACGCTTCTGTATCTGGTTTTCTATCCATATCACCAATAATTTTTCCATATCATGAATAGGACCTTGTCTTTTCTTTGAAATTATAGTTCCCTTTATAGGTGTTGTTCCTTTCACTACATCACGAATACGTTCCTTGTCCTTCAGAATAGTGGATATGGTCGAGTGTGAGAAACCTAGGTCACTTAAGATTGTTGCTACAGTTTTTCCATTCTCATGCTGAGTTATTATCTTCATTTTCATCTCAAAAGTAATTGCCTGTCTCCCTCTCTTTGGAGCACCACCAGCACTCTCACTTTTACGCTTTCCAGTCATTATAAAGTCAATTAAATATGATAATAACGAAAATTCACAGCGCGATCAGTATAGGATACGACAGCCAAATACCAACTAAGCGTTCCACTGAGTGAGTGTACCCACACGGCCCCGGGCCCGCCACGCTCTCGCCCGGGACAGAAACGTTTCGGTATAGAAAATGCGCGTGTCATTTGAAAATACTTTTGGTCACGACTGCCACGGTCGTATGTCCCGACGGTCGTAAGGTTCAGAGGAGGTCGTAAGTACCATTGGACGTAAGTCCAAGCAGTCGTAAGTCGGGACTACCTGTACATAAAATAACTCCCTCCACACTCAAACCATCCTCTGTGCGATGCGACCCATTTCAGCCACGCAATCAACCAGCTGACTCACAGACATGTGACTGCAGCTCTGTATGTCTTGACATCACATTGGGAGGAAGTGCGGCTATAGTTATAGTCCACAGAATCCACACCCACGCTCTTCATTATTCTTATTTTATAGTTTTATATTACAATATATTTTTTTCATATCTAAGCCACATTAGAGTGTAGTAATGATTTTTCAACAACTTTTATAGTTTCATTACAAGTAACAATATACAAGACTGGCGAGTCAGTCACATAGTTATTAGCCAAGGACTTGGCTATACAGTGATCCGTCGGTTAATGAAATTTCGGTTAACGAATTACCTTCCATGAGATTCTTAACTTCAGTTAACGAGCATTCCCTCGATTAATGAATTCCTTACAAGCGCCCCTCAACATGTTTTCGCTTGCACACTAGCTGACGTATTAGTCCGCCAATACAGTAATCGGTTCTAGGGCTTAAATTCCTTACTATTTTAGTAAATATCAAGAAGTTTGTACTATTCAATAATTTTAAGTCTTATATTAAATTTTTTTTAGTCATTTTAACAATTATTTAACATAATTCAAGTACAGGGAAACTAGTTTTTAGCGCCCCAAACAGCCTGTCACCACACCATACAGGCGTCAGTCTCTGTGTCTTCTCCCTTCTCCTCCACCCCCACTTCTAATTCCCATCATCATCATCATCATCAACCAGGAGCCGTCTACTTGCACACTTCAAAGTAAGTGTACTTTACTGCATTTATTTTTAGTTTGTATGTAATTTTCAGTGAGCTGGATCCAATTACCCAAAATCCCATTGAAACAATGGTTTCGGTTAACGAACGACCTTCTGGAACAAATTGAGTTTGTTAACCGAGGGACCACTGTAGTTCACATCCATGTAACAAAGCATGGAGTGAACTTGAGAGTAGACTCAATATTTTTAATACATTTTTTATGATTGCATATATGTACAATAGTGGGGTATGCTATAACGAACGGATCCTACTACGAATATTCCTATAACGAACAGTTTTACCTATAAAATTGAAAATGCTATAACGGACGAAACTCCTACAACGAACATTATTTAAAAAAAAAATTATTTTTATTTATTTTATTTTTTTACTAATTTATTGTTTTTTTATTACAAGTATTAATGATATTCTTTATTTCAGGGGTTTAGATGCATATTTATGCACTTTTTTACAATTTTATATTACTGTATATTTTTCAGTGTTAAGTGGTTGTATTTGGGGGCCTGGAACGGATTAATCCTATAACGAACGAATGCTACAACGAACAAGGTTCTAGAACCAATTAGATTCGTTATAGCATACCCCACTGTATTGTATTGTATATACTGTACAGTATGTGTGTGTGTCTACACACACACATACTGTACAGTACAGGTAAAAGGAATAATTATCCTAAGGGCAAACACACAGGGAATATACATTTCTTTGTACAAAGCAAATGTTTTTCGAGGATTTGCCTTCCACAATGCTTTTCTGTTCATCCTACCATACTCTTATTCCAAATCTACTATAAACCATTAAAACCATCTGTCTGTAAGTTATAAAAACCAACCAAAAACTAATTAAAACCAAGGAAAAAGGCATAGATTAAAAACAAAAACAAAATTACAGTATTTTGTTTGGTTTAAACCATTAGTTTAAATTGGCCAACCCTGAGCTTCCAGTATTAAAGGTGACATCTCTAGATTAGGACGAAATTTAAACATAATGATGCTCTTTGAGACTTACATCCACAAATACATCAACAGGCTGTTTGAAGTTGAAGACCAGTTCAGAGTGATCAGATGAAGGTCTCCATATTGCTCTCCAGCCAGCTGGTTCAATGCTTTCTTCCACATACTGAACCAAACATGTCTCCACTCTGTCTGCTGTCACCCCTGAGGAAAAATTCAAAATTTAGAACAAATTTATATACAGTCATGCGCCGGTTAACGTCCTAGATACGTTCTTAGAAACGTGACGTTAACCGAAATGGACGTTGTCCGATCATCACATAAACTTTGTCTTTATACTTACGTGTATGTGGAATACTACATACAGTGACCCCTCGTTTAACGAACGCCTCGGTTAACGAACTGCTTTCCATAAGGATCTTCAATTCGGTTAACGAATTTCTTACGAACCGACCTCAACATGTTTTCGCTTGCACTGACCGGGCAACCAGCTTTAGTATCAGTCTTGCCCGCGGTGCCCACCATTTCTCTGTGGATGTCGGTCACACGAGAATAACCCGTTATAGTACCTCCTTCTTTCCTCACACAGCCAAACTGTGGAATGCTCTGCCTTCTTCTGTGTTTCCATGCTCTTACAATCTGTCTCACTTTAAAAAGCTGGTTTTCCGGCATCTTCGTGGTGTAGATTAATACAGTATAACCTTTTTTTCTATATTTTCAATTTCTTTCCATTCTTTTTTTTTCGCCCCCCCCAGGCTCCATTGTGGGTCGTTTGACCTGTGCCCGGGTGGGCTAATTCCCGTAAAAAAAAAAAAACATGTACAGTCTCGTTCAAGATTCTTCGAACCCTGCTGGAGACAGTAGTAAAAATTATGAATGAATGTAAAAGTGATCGGTGATTGATTAATTAGTTCCCCGTTGCTTAAGTTAATGGTTGGTCTTTGTTGTTTCGTATTATATTATACTACGTACTATAGTAAACAAACGGCCTTGAGCTGCCAGCTGTCTCCAGCAGTGTTCGAAGAATCTTGAACGAGACTGTACAAACATTTATGTGATCACCTTGAAAACCATTAAGGCAATGTTTATACATTTTTCTGAGACACCCTGTAGTTATATGTACTATTGCATTGTCTCATATGATTTTTTTTCATTTTTTTTGGTGTTTTCTTTCATAGCTATTCCAATTATTTATCTAATTAACCTGTACTCGGTTTTTCAACAATCGTGCAAAATTTTCTACTTAAATACCAAATATGCTACCAATATGCAGGCACAGCAATACACAGGTTGTACCTCTCTAGTCCGGCAACCTCGGGACCTGACTGGGACCGGACCATGGAAATTCACCCTTTTCCTGGATAGATAGTGACTTGTGTTTACGCTTGGAAGCACTAACACCACTTTCTCTGCTTCATGGTCTCTTTGAAGACATATTGAAGGGTTAAATGTCGTACAGTAGCTTCTCAAATTTCGCGAGTTTTTAATTCGACGTTTTCTATTTGAACACACAAAAAAAAAATAACACAATTAAAAATTTTGGCGGCGGAAACTCGAATTTCGACGGGTTTGAACGGCCCACCAACGTTCAGACAAAGTGCACTATCGTGTAAACAGCGTTATTTCTCTTATGTACAAAAGATTCATTATTGTTTGTTACTGAAAGTCTTTTTGATTGCATTAATGTTTGTGTGTGCAAAATGAGCAATACAATTCATTAATAATACGTTGAATATTAAAACACGAGGAAATGAGACAGCATTGTTTTCGTTGATTACAAAACCAGTGACTGACTGGTTCTACATATAAAACTGAAGAAAATAAGACCCTGGTTGTAGCTGTAGTAAAATTAATATGGTTGTTTTAAGTAATGTTATTTAATGTTAATAAATGGAACAATAGAAGTAGCTAACGATAATGGTAAAGACAAAAAGAGATCGCGTATGTAAGTGCGCACACGTGAAAACATATCGTCATTACTGTACATAAGAATATGAAAGCAACACTTATTTACTGTTCATATATATTTTAATTAATGTTTCTGAATTTGTTTTTATTGAATTAATGTTTGTGTGTGCAAAATTAACAATACAATTTATTAATAATACGTGGAATATTAAAACACACGGAGACGAGACGGCTGCCGGCATTGTTTTTGTTAAAGCTTACAAAACCAGTGACTGATTGGTTCTACATATAAAACTGAAGAAAATAAGACCCTAATTGTAGCTGTAGTAAGATTAATGTAAAAAAATTAATATGGTTGTTTGAAGTACAAGTACCTGTAATGTTATTTAATGTTAATAAATGGAACAATATAAGTAACTAACCATTAATGGTAAAGAAAAAAAGTGAAACTGCACGTATGTAAGTGTGCACATATGAAAACATTTCGTCATTACTCTACATAAGAATATGAAAGCAACACTTATTTACTGCTCATATATATTGAAGGGTTAAATGTTTTTACTCTGTATTGACAACCAGAGAGAGAGAGCAGCCGAACTGCCGGATGTAAACAAACCTTAATTTCCCGCGGCTTTGTTGTTCTTTTTTTATGGGGATTAGCCCACCTGGGCATAGGTCACTGACCCACATTGGGGCCTGAGGGGCAAAAAATCTAATACTCCTGTAATAATAATAATAATAATAATAATAATAATAATAATAATAATAATAATAATAATAATAAAAATAATAATAATAATAATAATAATAATAATAATTCAGATAAGTAAAAAAAAAAAAAAAAAACCTGCCTATCTACTTATTGGACAAACTAAAATCGTTCCGGATCACGGGAGTTTCCGGACCACAGAATGCCGGACTAGAGGGGTACAACCTGTACTGTAAATCTCACTAAAAACTTATGACAACATTGTCTTTTTGTATTAACTTGTAGCTATCTGATGATCTAGCGTCAACCACAGAACAGTACAAATTAAACCTCTACAACCTGTCAAAAGTTTCAATATGCCAAAGTATAAGAAAAAAAAACCTCAGTGTCTTTGAAGTGCAAAACATTAGCCTAATTTAACAGATATATGGACAACACATTAACATAAGGCATTCTACTCTGTTGATGGAAAACAAACTGTGTAACTTCATTCCATCTGCTGTCATCATTGTTCTAAATCCTTTAGAGGTGCAACGTAGCCCTTAGGTACCGGGTATTCTATTCTAGCTAACGGCAGATATTTTACTCAGGTCAGAGAAACCCCTGCGCTCTAAAGGGTTAAATGCCGATAATTTTGCTTCATGACATTTTCCATGAAAAGGTCAGTACATCACCTTTATTCTAGACACTGCAAAATACATATTATGTGTGAAAAATAAATACCCAAAATCGCCCTAAAACCCTGAGCCATAATTACCATGGAGGATGCGAGTGAGTTCAGCAACATGATCGTCCGGCAGCCAGGAAACACGGAATACATCTGGCGCCTTTCCTGATATGTCGACACTGGATGATGTACCAGCTTCAATGTTCGACTCGGCCATTTTGTTTTCTGATGATGTGCCTTGTTCCAACATAGAGCTCGGATTCTCACTCCAAGTCTTCCTCTCTGGAATAGCAATGATCATCAGTAATTATATTTTTCAAATTGCAGAAATGAATCAGGTTTATAATATATAACATGAAATTCAAGATGTTTGTACTTAGATGTTTGTGAAATATGATTCTTCTATAATTTAGCCATCAGAGAAAAAAGTTAACTAGACACTGTACCGGGTAATAGAAAGAGTAAATAAAAAAATGGGCAAAGGCCTTTGAATACCAAGGTGCGATCTTGAATACAGTATTATTAGCTATACAGGTACAGGTATTGTCTTAGAAAAAATATTATAGCTTCAATATATTACTCAAACCTTTAAGAGGAATACCCGAGGATGTATCTTATAATCCTTAAAAATCTGTGATCTCCCTTCTAACCTACCATGTGGCTGTGTAAATATATTCATTACACCAAGATGATTTGATTCTGTTAGTTGTATCGCTCTTATGAGTGCCAAGTGCTACAGGCAATGCTCAAAATATTGAAGTTTGGTCTAAAATATTAATCTAAATTTTCTTATTTCCTAAAACAACAAGTTGAATGTGCAGAAGATGGTTGCCCTTTACTAAGGGATTTTCAGTATCAAGTTTGTCTTGTTTTAAAGAAAATAAATCTGGTAGTACACTAAAAACTTGAATACAGACTTATTAGCATCACATGTCCACGACTGTGTCTCTGATGAAAGCCAGACATGAATCAACCAGCCACATCTATTAACGATCCTATATTAAATGTGCAGGTTTGATTCATTTATTGTCTCGTATCATTATGCAGTTCAGAGCTGTAGCCTGTATGACACTACAGTAAATGTTAAGATGTACTTAGCTAAATTTACTATAAACACTACTGGAGCTTCAAAACAAATGCCTTGAATTGATATACAGTACTGTACCGTACTTATGAATTAACAAGTAAGCCAATCTGTAACTTTGACCAATTAACAAAACTCATGGATCACAGTTTAATGGCATGGTTTTAGATACTTCATGATAAGAATGGTTTGTTTATAAGGATAATTTCCACAAATTTAATGGTACTGCGAAGAAAGAAATGTCCATAAATTTACAATACTTAGTAAGTATTAAGTTGGTTGTGGCCTCCAAGATATGGTAAGAGTGGAGCAGACAGCTAACACCAGTTGTTTAATTACGCTCATTTCTCCACAGGTGTTCTTGGGATGATACTCAGTAATAATAACTATATGGCAACCTTTTAATGTTAATTGTAAGTTGTTTTTTAGTTTTTCTCTATCTAAGATCATAAATCACCTGTAGTGGGCAGGGTATGAAAGATACGGGAAATTGTGGGGTAAAACGCAACAAAACACTGATCATGACACTAAAATGATGTCTCTACGTACTTTGCACGTGAAGAAATTTACCCATTTAGCATAAATATTCCACCGAAAAACCTGCCATTGTCGGTACGTGTTGTCGTTTGCCCAATAACCAAGCTGGTCAGCTAGAACGCATACTCTCACGTCCACAAAAAATGTAAAATTACACCATGCTGCTTCAAGAAGTTGCTTTCATTGGTACCAGCTGTCAAAGTAAGTATGTACAATACTGTAGTATGTTTAATTTGCAAGAACCCTGGCTAGGATGACAGGTAAGATTAAGTAAGAACCAGTAGGTTTGGTTAAGATTGGTTAGGTCAGGTTCTATTAGGTTCTCTGCATTGTCATATCATTTTTATTACTTACTATCACCCAAAGAACATGTGTTAACCGTTTGCTCCACTTTTACCCCAATTACTACTGAACTATGCCTGGTTCTTGTGCGATGAATAATATATACAGTTCTCAATTTTATATCCAAGCTGAAATCTGACACAATTCAGTATTTTTTTCTCAATGACTTACTTGCCATAAACCGAGTAAATTCAGTCATTTCTTTGCAGCTCCAACGACAGATCCATTAACTACAAATACATGAAAACAATACATTCCCTGTAACAAAATATCAAATTGTTAGTACACAAATTGCATAGATTATATTCTGAGCCCCAGTTGTAGTCACCAGGGCTTTACCACACCCCTATCAGCTGAAGGCAACAACAATACAATTCTGGTTTAAAATCCTCCTCTATTTCCTGTGACAAGATGCACATAACTACTTAAAATAAGTGGGGTTAGCCAAACATTAACTTTTATAGAGATCCCTTGAATACTTACACGGTAAATCTTTGTTTGAGGTAAAATAATAAAGCAGACTTGTCCTCTCTGTCCACCTTGTTTGAAATGGCAGGGGTGCAGTGTTACCAACTCATGCTGACCAAATGGCACGGGTGCAGTGTTACCAACTCATGCTGACCAAATGTAGCGAGAGTTACCCCGAAAAGTCGCTCGATAAGGTGAAAAAAAAAGGCCAAAAATGTAGCCAACCATACAATCATGGGCGTCCGCAGGGAGGGGCAAGGGGGGGGGGGCATTTGACCACCCCTGGAAAATCAAAAACTTGAAAAAATTACATGGAAAATACAAAATGAATAAAATAACAAACATTTCTCAACAGTTCATTCAGTTAGAGCAGGTTACTACTCTTGGAACAGGAATTGGAGCCGTCGGGGATCTCTTCCGAAATTGTCAATGACCCTATTCATTAGCTCGGTCTTCTGGCTGTTCACTTTGTCGCCGCGGTGGACACTTAGCATGCAGAGGCCGGACAGACGTTTATCACCCAACTCAAGCCAGAAAACAACGGACAAGATAGGAACCAAAACGCAGGCATCAAATCCAGAACAGAAAAGTGAGGAGATGGTAATGGAGACAGATACCGAGGACTTACAAAACAGATCATACTGTGGGGTATGAGATGTTTGGTTCACACTCAGGATGGAATGGAGAAAGGAAACTCACAATGTGCTCTCTATATACATGTTGTATTGGATGTACAATGCAGCTTGGTGCTGGGAAGGCAGCATGGTTACAAGCGTGATGTAGAGAGAGCTGGTTGGTGAGGATGCTCAGAGAAGGACAGCTTGTGGGTCGCCATGCTCGCCGGCGGGAGCGAGGACCGCCAGGCAGGCGGAGGAGGAGCGAGAGCCACCAGGCAGCGGCGGAGGAGGAGGTGGTGTGGTGTTGCTGGCTGGTTAGTGTAGGTAGAAAGAGGGCAGGTCACCACCAGGTCAGGTCTTAAATAGCGGGGGTAGGCGTGGCTTAGTAGTTGACCCCCGCTCCGTGATGTATGGCGGCGCTGGTTGACCTCGACCACGAGGCATACACTGGGGAATTGGTGGGGTCGGCTACTCAGCGACAAACAGCGTTTGTAGGGGAGAAATCCACTACAATACTCCCCCTTCCCTCCAGGCGGTGTAGGAGACTTGTTGTCTGCAGGGTTGCTTAGCACATGTGAGGCAGAAGGGGCGGTGCATGCCTCATGTGAGACCGGCGATGGCGTGGATGAGCCTGTCGCTGGATACAACTGTCTAAATACACACTATCTGTGGGAGAAGAGAGGGAGAAAAAGGGTGTGTGGAGGCGATGAATGTTGTGCTTCCCTCACGGCAGGTACAGAGTCGTCAGCTGCGCCTGCTGGGGTGTGTGGGCCTGGGTCAGGAGCAGGGGCTGCGTCAGCAGAAGCGGATGAGGGCTCGTGACAGCAGCTGGGTCCACGACAGCAGCAGGGTGCAGGACATTAGCAGGGAGTACCTGAGGGAGAAAAGAGGGGTGTGTGGGTCCGCACTCAGGAACAGAGACCGCATCAGGTCCTCCCCAACAGTACGAAGTTATTTCAGTGGCATTAACTCTCAAGGGCTTCCTCAGGCTATATTTGGTTAATAGTTTACCGTGTTTTGTATACTTAGACTGTACATGATGAGTCACTCTGTCTGTCTGTCTATCTATCTATCTATCCGTCTGTCTGTCTGTCTATCTATCTATCTATCTATCTATCTATCTATCAAGCAGCAGTAGGAGAGAGAAAGAGAGAGAGAGAGAGACGCCGGAAGGGTTTACACGGGTCATGAGAAACAGCTTAAAGGGACGGTGTCAGGACGGTCATGGGAGAGGTGGAAGTAATCATGATCATCCGGCTCTCCTTATCACCAACAGGCTCTCCAGTGATAACATTATCAGCGGAAGTGTAAGATAAGGAATAGAGGAGGAGGAGGAGGAGGAGGAGAGGAGGAGGAGAGATTAATTAAGAAATGTAAATTGTTGGTGTTAGGAGGCGTGTGTGTGTGTGTGTGTGTGTGGAAAAGGAAGGAAAGGGAATAACACATACGGGAGAATGAAAAACAGAAAGTAATGTTGGTGGAAGAGAAAATTAACTACAAATACGATAATAAAATATAGAAGAATGAATCAAGGAGAAAGATATAAAGAAGATTAATCCAAATTATTTCACCCAGATGATTAATCACCCTAATCTAACCTAATCTAACCTAACCTAACACAGATGAAGGTCAATAGTGGAGCCAGCTATTGAAAAGGTGTTGGCTTAATGGCACGTGGAAAATAGATATATACGGTTCAATTACTGTCCTTGATGAACCAATTACGACAGGTGATATCTGTAAGAGAGAGACATAAATGAAATATGATTAACATCCCGCCTACAGATTTGTAAGTGCAATAAACAATGTATTTTATTAAGTGAGTTTTACCGCCAATTTCCTCTCGTTTTCTACAAATGTTTGATAATCAGGTGTATTTTTTTTATGTCCTTAAATGTTGAATTCTATAATAGCCCGTAAGACTGGATGACTGGTCGAGTGACTGGTTGGGAAACTGACAGATAATTTCTTGATTGGCCTCACTCTGCTGACTAGTTCTTGGTCGTTCTTGAGTTTTCTCTTTTCTTCAGCAGAGATAATTAACATTTTTTTTTATCTTCCATATTCACAAAACTCAGTCTTTCTTTCTCAAATTTCACAGGAATCAGTTATTGTTTGTAGGTACATGGGAAAACCTAGCGAGCGCAGTGAGCCCACCCAGCTGACCAATATCATGGGCATTTGGAGACCATGTACACTTGATATTAGGAGATATTCTGATGTCAAATGTAATTACTTTTTACTATAAAAAAATGTCTGAGTACAATATTACATTAAAGAAAAAGAATTGGAATTTTCTGATGAAAAGGAGGGGTCCGGACCCCCAGGACACCCTGGATCCGCCCCTGCAGTATGCCCATGAGAAGGAGCAGCTGCGGGTTGTGGTCGGTTTCAACTGTTGGTGTAGGGAGAGACTGTTGTGGTTCGCTATCCCTTCACACGCTCCGTCGGTAATCGTGTTCACGGAATTGTTAGTCAAGTTACTCTGAACTTCCGCGTTCCAGATGACAGAGAGAGAAAGAGAAAGAAAGAAAGAAAGAGAGAGAAAGAAAGAGAGAGAAAGAGAGAGAGAGAGAGAGAGAGAGAGAGAGAGAGAGAGAGAGAGAGAGAGAGAGAGAGAGAGAGAGAGAGAGAGAGAAATAATGCTGCTTCTCGAACACACAGCGTGTTTAACAGCTTTCTGTAAGACACATCGTACAAGTTTTCTCAAATAAAAGCACTGCAGAGATTTTAACATAATATAATGATAATGTGTTTTAATTGGAATCATTAAGCTTAAAATTCAACTTACTCAGATGTTGGTGAAAACTGACCGTGATCACCAACCCTTACTCTCAAATACCTCCAGGTGTTCAAGTATTTGATTTTGTATCAAGTGGATGAGCACTTTCTTTCCTGTAGGTTACATTACGACCTACCTACAGGAATCTTCTGGTGAGCAGGTAAGCCTCAGCTAACAAGGGCTCAGCACACACCGTTGAAGGTCACAGGTGAGGTAAGCAGGTGAGGATTGGTTGAAGCAGGGGGAGTGAGAGAGGGTCAACAGGACAAGATTGGGTTAATCTCTGTTAACAGGACGCTCCGTTTATGACCCAGGGGACCAGTAGGAAACATTATAACAACGACAGAAACACTCACGACGCCGGAAGAACACACATAAGTAATGTTACATAATGAACTTCGGCTAAATAAACATACAGTCATTGGATAAATAACTTTATACGTGTATTTTCTTTCTGTTTCTAAAACCTATCCATAGTAACGTGGTCTGGGATAAGCATTCACTTTACACCTTGGCTGACCACTGATTAATTACCTGGACTGTATTTTTCGGGAGGTGGCGGAGGGATAGCAAGGCCGCCAGTGTGTGTGGTTTATAAATGGTGTGGACTATACGTGGAAATGTGACGGGGTATGTGATAAGTTAATCTAATTTGTCGTTTTTTTCCCCCATCAGCGCCACCTTCAGGTCTAACAGCAGGATTTGAACACATGAAGCTCTCTCCTCTTGTCCTAACTCTTTACACACACACACACACACACACACTACCCTCAGTTTTATAACATGAGCAATATGAAGGTCACCTGGACATCACCTCATCTCCAGGTGTCCCGTCACAGTAATTATCACAAAACATAACGATATTACAAAAAAACAAAAATATTTGAGGTCAACCAAAATATATGACACAAAAAATATGAACATAAAATTATACAGTTTTCACTCCATTGACCTAGTTATTTTTTTGATAATTCACGGAAGAGTAATTGAAACTTATTTTTGTTTCAGGCGAACATTTATTCTCTATTAACAGAATATTATTAGGGAGTTTAAATTCATGTTAGCAGTAATGGCAATGCTATGTTCTTGGTTAATGGTGTCATTATATTCTAGCTTGTTAATTCTTTTTAAATATTGGGGTTAAAACTGTTTGTTTGTTTTTCTTCTTAATTTTGTTTTCATTTTTTGTTTTAGAAATGTTGTAATATTCGTGTCATTATAAAGTTAGGTGAGTTAACAACATGTATATAGATCACACCTGAGTGTTTCTCTTTACATATTTATTGGTTAGTTCAGGGTGTCAAAGGTGGAATGACGCTGATGTTTGGTCCATAAACGCCTTCTTTACACACACACACACACACACACACACACACACACACACACACACACACACACACACACACACACACACAAATTACTACTACAACTTTGCTGTCACTCGGAATTGAATATGACGATCATCCTGACACTGAATGATATGAATTCTTAGTCAGCCCTGAGCTATACCTTGCAACCCGACTCTCTTCTCCCCTGATATCATTCTTCTCTTGCTTCTTGACCTAGAAATAACTAGGTCATAATGACATATAATCCCACGGACATTAAGATGACGAACTCAGCTTGTGTTTGCCTGTGTGTGTGTGTGTTTGTGTGTGTTTTTGTTAATGTGTGTGAGTGTGTGTGTGAGTGAGT